GATGTAGCATCATTAACTTGTCATAGGAATTCTCATTATTTTATACAAAGATTTAAATGGAAAACCGTTTATGCACAACATATAAATTTGTTGAGTAAAGAAACAGATAGAGAGGAGAGGGAACATTTTTTATCTTCCCCTTTATGTTAACGAAATATGATATGATGCGTGGATAAGAGAACAAGAGTGATCACACGGGAGTCGCGGCGCGCAGCATCCCGCTTGAGTGCCAAATCACAAGAATCGAAACGTGAGTTCGATGTCGATACGAATATAGACGCGAATCACAGCTACCGTGGAAGCTCGCGCGATTTCGCAAAATCGCGCGACTGTCGCGCGAGCATATAAGAAACAACGTTTTATATCGATGACGAATATTTGGGAAGGTATCATCAATTTTAGGACAAAACAAGAAAAACCTTTCATTTTTCTCGAGACAATTTTTAATCGCGATATCCGCGCAACTTTTGCATCGCGTAAAAGTCCCGGGTTGTCTTTTTCTTATGAAGAATATCGCTCGAAATTTATAAACATTAGATATATTTTATATATGCATATATTTAAAATATCTTGTACTTAAGCTATGAAAAAATATATTTTTTTAAATACTTTGAATATAAATAGTTTTAAATATACATACGTATAATAAAAAAATATATAAAATAAATATATAGAATAAATTATTCAGAAATGAATATATACTTGAATGAGGTGGATTTGATCCGCGCGTTATAATTCGAAGGGGTTGCATCGTACCTGTCGTCACCGCTCGTTCGCCGCGAAACTATTGCAAAGCGGTATATAGCACCGAGCCTGAAAGCTCTCGGTTAGCTGAAGAGCCAGAGCACTTACACCAATACACGGCAACAAAGTCCTTCTCGTTGAGGAGCCGTTCGAGTTGCTTGGCAGTGATATCCTCGATCACCGGCTCGACCTCCTTCTGCTTGCCGGCGGAGCCTCGGGACGAGGCCGACTCCTCGGCTTTCGTCTTCGCGGCGGCGTCAACGTGGCCCAGGAGCAGCGAGATCAACGCAAGCACGGCCAAAAGGACCATCGTCCTCGGATAATCCGTCGTCGTCGGCATCGCAGGGCCGCGGGTGGTAATACTCCGCCTTCTTCTCCGCCAGCACCACCACCATCGGCCGAACCGTACCGCCGAACCGTCGTTCGCCGTCGACATCGCCGCACTGACTGCCGCGCATCGGCTATTTTTGATTTTTCGGACAACGTCGGCCACGCAGGCAGAACGGCCAACAGCGACGATGACGATGAAGAAGAAGAAGAAGACGACGACGACGGCGAGGACGATGGCGACGCGTTTCCGTTTCGTCTGTCACCCAGTTTCGGTTCAGGATAGAGTCTTAAAGCTTCGGACTTCTGAAAGATATATCTTATCGTGAAAAATGTGAACCATCCGTCTATTGATAATTGAATCTTCGACCAAAGGGTCATCTCAAAGGGTCTTATTTTAGGGGATGTTATTTTATATTAGAAAAAAAACATCCCCTAAAATAAGACCCTTTGAGATGCTCGGTTTGGTCCAAGATTCAATTAAAAATTCGAGAAAAATGTGAACCATCCGTCTATTGATAATTGAATCTTGGACCAAACCGAGCATCTCAAAGGGTCTTATTTTAGGGGATGTTATTTTATATTAGAAAAAAAACATCTAAAATAAGATCCTTTGAGATGCTCGGTTTGGTCCAAGATTCAATTAAAAATTCGAGAAAAATGTGAACCATCCGTCTATTGATAATTGAATCTTGGACCAAACCGAGTATCTCAAAGGGTCTTATTTTAGGGGATGTTATTTTATATTAGAAAAAAAACATCCCCTAAAATAAGATCTTTTGATGATGCTCAGTTTGGTCCAAGATTCAATTATCAATAGACGGATGGTTCACATTTTTCTCGAGCACGATAAGATATATCTTTTAGAAATCTGAAGCTTTAAGACGCTATCCTGAACCAAAACTGGATGACGGACGAAACGGAAACGCGTCGCCATCATCCTCGCTGTCGTGGTCGTTGTCGTCGTTTTCTTCTTCTTCTTCTGCTCGGTTTACCGAGTCCAAGTGGTCGATGTGGGAGTAATACTTGAACATACGTACTTATATCTTCCTGTTATTGTGCAAACGATATTTTCAGAAAAAATTTTCCTATAAATTTTGAAAATATAAATGACTGAAGTAAAGAAATTCGGCTGTTATAGTTTCAGTAATATTTTTATTCGTAATTTTTTGTGTATTGCTAATTCAGGATAGTGTCTTATAACTTTCAATCTCAGAAAGATATATCTTATTGCGAAAAATAGCGACATATCCATCTATTGACAATTGAATCTCAAAGGGTCTTATTTTATAGGGGATGTTTTTTTTAATATAAAATAATAAAAGTAATAACATTTGAATGTTGAACCCAAGATGTGGGAATAATACTTGAACTTGAACACACGTACTTATATCTTCCTGTTATTGTGCAAACGATATTTTCAGAAAAAATTTTCCTATAAATTTTGAAAATATAAATGACTGAAGTAAAGAAATTCAGCTGTTATAGTTTCAGTAATATCTGATTTGAATACAATATTGCATATAATAACACTTTTGAACAAATTAATTAAGCTGAATATAAATTATGTAAAAAAATCTTTATAATTATTTAAATACTTAAATGCAGATTACTTAAAAATTTTTTTATTTTCTGGAGGGAATTACTGCAGTGATTTCTCTTTTTTCAATTAACTAACATTAAAAACTAATATTAGGAAATATAAAACTAATATTAGGAAAAATAATATGAATCTTAGGAAAAATGATCTTAAAAAAATACTATACTACTTGTGCATTTTTCGATAGACTGTAGAGACAATTGTTAGAAATTTTTAATCACATATAAGCATGAGTAACAGTTTTAAATTCTATTAAACGATGATTGTTGGCTACTTCTTTTCTCTTCTTTATGATTTTTTTCTCTTCTTCATTGTTTCTTTATGATACTCGTACTAGACGAAAACACTTGACATTCATTCGCGAAAACATTGTCAGTTGTGATAATTAATCGGTAGGATATGATAATCGCATTTTTTGCACGACACTCCCAAAAAATATACGTATACGATGCATACCTTATTATATTGTGATAGGAAAACGATACAACTATGATTTGATTATTCTTTGCGAAAACTGCATGATTAATTCGCAAAATACCGATGTAAAATATTCTCATAGCAATGCTATCTCTGTTGTCAGTAAATATTTTTTTATTTTAAAACATTTTATATTTATATTTAATATTGACTATATTTTGCATAATAGATTTTATTAAATGAAATAAATTGCACGATCGGAGTCGAATTGTTTTATATTCGCGATGTTTTCTTATAATAAGCAAAGAATTAAAAAAATATTAACAATTTTACAAATTTAAGAAAGACATTAACAATTTCACCATCATACCGTGTGATTCTACGTGAATCGAATTAATGGCTAATTCACACTTTAATCGCGAGAATTAATTAATCGCTCCAATCGTTAATTGTAATAATTGTAGAAAATAATTATGTTTATAGGATTTTCTAATATTTTTTGCTATCGCGTTTTGATAAATAAACACAATACATAGAGCGTCGTTGCTTTCTCGCCAATAATTAAATTTGATGAAATTGTTAATAAATATTAAAATTATAATAAATATTTAATATAGTATACACAATAATTAAAAGTGGAATATTTTATTCCTTGAATTTCAAATTAAATAAACGAATGTTATATGATTTTTCAATACCTGAATTATTCAAATTTAATTCTTATCGTGCACTTTTGATCAAAAAACAATTGACAAATTATATTTAAATCGATAAAGAATTCAAAGTGCGAAGTGCAAAGTAAAACATATTTAGTTTCAAGCATTATGACAAAAATAATTTTATTGCAATCTTTATATGATATATATTAATAAATAATATATATTATATAATCTGTGTATATAATATATATTATATATATTATATATTATATATATTATATAAAGAGTGCAATAAAACGATAATTTATAATTCTTTATCTTTTATTGTCTGTTCTATATCTTTTCTTACTTGAAACACATAAATCGTGTAAAATAATTTGTAATAACCATCGATACAAATGTCAATCGCGGTAACTAATTAATTGCGAGGATCAATAATCGTTGATTTTAATAATAATAATTATTAATTTTAATAATTATTATAATCGATCGCGTTTGGCGTCTCTCTGTACCTCTGACGATTGTGTCTTAAGAAAATTAATGAGATAACAGACGAAGAGGCTCGCATTCCTACCTTCCCGCGCCAGTCTCGCCGTGTGAATGAGACAAGGTTGCGGCGCGTAAACATCAATGGTATTCAAGCCTGAGTGTGCGTGGTGGGGACAGTGACGTAGATAAGAGAGTTCGCACTCTATAAACAAAATTCGACACTCATTTTTGTATATCGTGTGTTATACAAATTTTACATGTATAACACGCTATCATTCGCGTAGTGAAACTCCACCCTTGTTTATGCGCATCATCATATTGTTTCTCGATATCGCGACAAGTATATTTAAATTGACACATTTGACAATTCATACATAAATGTATCAACGATTTGTTGAAGTACGTATGTTTTGCACGATTTATTATAAAGAAGTCGCAATTATAAAACAGCAATTATTGTTTTGTTATATTTAAAATATATATATATTTATATATTTTAATTCTAATTTAGATTATACTTCGCATTGTGCTTTGAATTTATTATCGTTATACCCTAATAAATTTTTGTTAACATTCAGTTTGATCAAAAATTATAATTGTTTATCAAATTAAATTAAAACTCTCATCTCTTTAATTTATCTTGACAAAAAAGATAATAAACTTTAAATGCAGTGCATGATATTGTTTATGCATATACCTATATATGAATGATTCGATCAAAGATTTCGATTTCTTTCGAAATAACAGTAACTATAGTAGTCGATATAGGATGCAACGATGTATATAAAGGCCGTGAGGGACAGTTTGCTAATGCAGTTAGTCAGTAGTCTCGATATACAACGAAATGGCAGAGGTGCAAGGAAAGTCGCGTATCGCCATTATTGGAGGCGGTTTGGTGCGTGAGATTGTCTAGGAAGAATTTTTACTTTTTTAATTCGGTATTGGTAAAAGATATGAAAGGGAGAGACATTATTGTTTTCGTTGCAGGTTGGAGCATTAGCCGCGTGTTTTTTCGCTAAAAGAGGTCATCAGGTAGTCATCTATGAATATCGGGCAGGTAAAAAACGCTGCACATTATATTAAAATCCCACAGCATTTTCGTGCAGTTATTGATTTTATAATTTATCATTAAAAATTAATATATCCTTTCGTTATTCATTTGAGTGACGCTTTTCATTAATATAATTAATGAAATACGTTGATAAAGTTTAGCTGAACGATATTCTAGAGAAGTCATAGTTTAGCGAAATGTTAAATATATTTCTTGGATGTTTTATAATTTATAACAATTCGATAATTTCAAATCTTGAAATATTTAGATTTACGAATGGAAAATTCATCTGGTCAAAGTATTAACTTAGCGCTGTCATTTCGTGGTCGAGAGGCTCTAAGAGCAATCGGTCTCGAAAATATTGTGATAAATCAGTACGGTACTTCCATGCGTGGTAGGATGCTTCATGATAAGAACGGCAATCTGAAAGAAGTTTTGTACGATAGTGTCAAGGGAAATGTGAGTCTTACTTCGAACTATCTTCGCGTTTCGTTTATACGTTTGCGGGCATTGATATACGCTAATTATTTATTTTGCAGTGCATCTACTCCATTAGTAGGCGACGTCTTAATATAATTCTATTGGACGGTACGACTATTTTTTACAGTAGTGCAAGTGTAAATTAAAATAATTTATCAACCAATTTTTATAACGTATAAAAAACAAAGCGGTAACTTTACATAAAAAGATGAACTAAAAATTCGGAATAAAGTTGCGTACAAAATTTTTCGTACTCTAAAAAAATCTCGAATTTAAAAATTAAATACAATATACTCCTTTTAGTAATCTTTCATCTCCGGAAGTGGTGAAATTAATTATGAGCTTTATTCAGGTTTTCTAAAAGATTTCAGGTTTCTCTAAAAAGAATGTATTTATATGAGTATTTTCTACGGATAATGTATAAGTTTTTCTCTTTCACTGGATTTTTTACTTATTATTTATTTTTTAAAAATATTTTTTTTTAATACCGCATTTCGCAAATTACTTTAATTAAAGCTGACGACGGGACACGAAACACAAAAAGTTATTTTTTGTATCAAGTCGAGTTACAAGAGCTTCTACTTCCGCGTGATATCTGGTGACATCGTGTGCGTGAAGCTGCAAAAATTCACGCGTATCGTTTTACTTGTGACACCCCTTTTATTCTGTAACATAGACTTAAGGATGTATTGAATAGAAACACCATTATTTAATATGTGAATTGTTAATTGGATATTTTTAATATCGTCTCAAATAATGGTAAATTATTTCAAATTGTTTTACTTGCACATTTAAAAGTTATTAATTATGAAATTTTGCAATTTTAACACAAAAGCCTTATGTAAACGTTTGAGAGATAGATAAATTATTTACAAACTATAAAAAACCAATGATAAAAATTGGTTTTGTTATATATTATCTTTTCCAAACATAAAAAAGTTTCTACAAAGTTTCAAAATGATTTACTTCCTAGTTTTGCAACTAGATTATTAAAAAACTACTGTCATTATCAATTTGATATTAACGTCAGAAAATGATAACGCCGCATATAATTTTCTCTCAAACAATGCGTACGAGTTTGCAAAAATCTATACATTTTCTTAGAAACCGAGACTTATTTACTTTGAAGAATACTATATGCATTCGTGAATTTCTTATAATTTTTATTAATTAAAATTCATGTTCTGTGCAATTGTAACTTTCTGATGTTTCGGGTTAACTTTTGGGAGATCCATCCAATACATTTTCAAGTCATGTGATGATCGAGTAATCATAGTTCGATACAAAAACTAATTCAAGTAAACCATTTGAATCTCATTCTGTCGATTACATTTTATCGATAGCCGCGGAGAAATATCCAAAAGTGCAAATAAATTTTAATAAAAAGCTCGTGGATGCCGATTTGGAAAAGGGAAAAATGACATTTTTAAAGTGAGTGATAGACGCATGAATGTGACTAGACGAGCGAACATTTTTAACCCCCTTAGCTATATCTCCTGTTTTTAGTGTAAAAACGGGAGGGATGGAAAATGCGGAAGCTGATTTGATAATTGGTGCCGACGGTGCATATTCGAAAATACGAAAAATTATGGCTAAAAGACCTCTCTTTAATTGTGCACAAACATATATCGAGCACGGATACGTTGAACTTTCCGTGCCGTCTGGAAAAAATAACGAGGTGAGCGTCGCCAAATAAGAGTAGCAGGATAATTCCAATTAAACTTGTTTGATGTAAGGATTTATTAACATTTTTTGATTTAATCTGTAAAAAGTTTGCGATGAACGGTAACAATCTTCATATTTGGCCGCGTGGTGAATTTATGATGACCTCGTTGCCGAACGAAGATCACACGTTCACCGGAAATTTATTTGCTCCATTCCACGTGTTAGAAAAACTGAAGACACCCGTGACGTTGTTGAAATTTTACGCCGAACATTTTCCGGATCTTTTGCGATTAATCGGTGAGCAAAGTTTGGTGCAACAGTTTTTTGAAAAGGAACCGCAAACGTTAATATCGATTAAGGTTAATTTCCATTTTATTAACACGTAGTTGTTCGATTTATTGACTTGGATAAATGGAATGTAGCATCTGCATTTGTGCATCTTGCAGTGTAAACCTTATCACGTTGGAAAATCTGCTCTTATAGTTGGCGATGCAGCTCATGCGATGGTTCCTTTTTACGCTCAAGGAATGAATACTGTAAGTGGTTTTATCGAATCGATAAAACAATTTTACCAATTACTTTTCATTGCGATATTTCAAGCTTGAAGAAAAAAAAATAATGCAATTATGCGATAAAACTATATCTGTGGGAAAAAAGGAAATGGGATATTCTTCATATTTTTTTTATTCCATCAGGGATTTGAGGATATTTTATTGCTCGATGAATTAATGGGATGCTACAATTCGGACTTTGCTAAAATTCTGCCGAAATTTTCGGAATTACGATGCGACGATGGCCACGCAATATGCGATCTCGCGATGTATAATTATCTGGAGGTTTATATATCGCTACAATATTTACTGTCACATGCGCCATATCCCCTAATTTGTCTGTAGATTTGAAAAAATTGAGCATATTTTTGTGTCTTTCAGATGAGAGATTTAGTGACGAGAAAATCTTTTCTTGTACGGAAATTCGTGGACAAGGTTTGTACACGTTCATTCCCAATTCATGGATACCGCTTTATTCCAGCGTGCATTTTACTCGTATGCGTTTTCGCGATTGCATAATCCACAAAGAATGGCAGGACAAGGTAAAAAATTGGGGAAAATATGATATGTAATAAAAAAATCGTTCTAAAGAAACGATTTCTTTTATTATAGGTATTAAGAGCGAGTCTTTGGTGTTTTGGAATTTTCGTTGTCGCCATTTTAGCTATTTCTCTGTCGCAAAGTACCATATGAATGTGATCGTTTGTCAAATGCCATTTATAAATATAACAAATTATAATTTAATAATAACAAAAATATAATTAATACAACTATATTAACTACTTGAAAATCTTTTTATAAAAGATTCTCTTTTTTAATATTCTGATATACACTATATCGTTTATACGGTTTATAACAATAATATTTTAGATTATTTAATTTATCTACGCATATTGCAATAATTGTAATATCTTCTATTATATTTATTTACAAGCACTATTTTATAAAATTGAGCTTTGGATATTCTTACAAAAGAACAATCATTTTTATATATTTTAATTATAATTCTTATGAAAATATCATAAAACGACATAAATATTCGATAAGTATATAATACAAGAATCATGTGAGTAATCAGTAAATTGTCTTGCGTATATTCTTAAGTTTTAACTTGATATTTTTAGCTTTACTTTTATCACTATTTTTTTTAAATTTTTATATTTAAATTGAATCGAATAAATGTACATTAAATTACATTAAATACACATATATCTAACACCTTCTTTTTATCTTTCAACTTTTTAAGAAAAATGACAATTAGTCCCAGAAAATCTCAATAAAGCAATAAAGTAATTTAAGATGATATCATATTCAATTGAACGCATAATAGCTAGGTTAATCATAGGTTTCGAGAGTAGCCTTATCCGCATCTTTTATATAATTGTGCTTTTGCGTTTCAAAGAGCTCAATTAAGTTGTTCATAAATTTTTTGTGGTACTCATCGATCTGCTCAGCTGTAGGTTTTTCTATTTTCGGTAACTCGAGAGGACTGCCAACTAAAATGAAAAAAAGAAAGACAAAAAAATTTTAATAGAGTATAAAAAGAGGCTAATAAAAGAATTTAATATACAATGCATGTAGGTTAATATGTGTATATTAAATTGCGAAATATAATGAGAACTTTACCGACTACGGTGACAGGTAATCGATTCGGAATGAGACCAAACGAATACTGGAAGAATCCTCTACCCGAAAAAATGATAGGTGCCAGTCCTATTAAATTGCGAATGCGATGCTGGATACGTCTTAAAGTCGATCCTTCCGGACCGTATACTTGATCGTATAAATCCGTTTCCCCAAAGGAGAAAACGGGAACTAACGTCGTGCTGTGAATTATAAAATATTAGTTCTGAATCGTGTTATCGTGTTTTTATACATCACACTTTTTCTCTTTTTTTCCCTAATTTTTTTTGACAAATGATTTATTCTACTATTTCAAGTCATTATAAGTAAATTAGCTTAAATATGTCTCTGAAAAGGTAAAAAAAAAAAAAATTAGTTAATTACCCATGTTTCAACGCTAATTTTACGAAGCCTTTCCTCCTTTTCACAATGGTACGGTAAGTGCCTGGTGTCGATTCCATGGATTCAGAAGCACCGCCGACAATAAGTACCGTAGCTCTTCCGGTATGTGGACTCTTTGGCGGTGCCGATAATAAATACTCGACACTTTTCGCATTAGCAGCGCAGCAACCTGCGTTCGAGAATTATCATCTTTTAATTGTTCATGTTAATAAATGAACATAAATCTATATAAATGAGTATGGTACTAAATGAGTGTTTTTAATTTAAAAATTTATATGTAAATATATCGTCATTTTTCTGTGAATCAATATGTTTTTACAATCTTTTCTTTACAATACTTATTTTTTGCGAAAATTATTTTTACGATACATTTCCTTATATAAGATTATTTTTTTGTGTACATTCTGTACGTTCTATAAGTTTACACAAGTCTTCTGTACGACTCTTTTTACGCGACTTTAAATAACACTTTTGTACGGGCAAAAAATATGTTGCCTTTCAAATTCAAGTGACGCAAACATTAAAATGTACGTCGTACTAACATTGAAAATATTCAATATATAGTAGAATGTTACAAGTATTTATCGTTTTGTGAGATGAAAAAATCTCATTGAACAACCGTAGGAAATAATAAACAGAAGCTATAAAAAATTGTCTTACCTAAGGAATAAGGATATTCTCTGAATAGAGGTACTTTGAAGTGTTGATCGAGAGTAATTAGACGTATTTCTAATCCGGGAAATAATTTCTTACAATCTAGCGCGTCGGTTCCAAAAGAACCCACCACGCCCATTGATAAAATTCCATGAGGTACCGATATGAAAAGATAAGACTTTGTCGGATCCAGATCGACCGTTTTTACTAACTTCAAGGGAAAATAATTGCAAAAGTAACGCCAAAACGCGTTCTTTCTCACTATATTTGTACACCAGTCACTGAAATGCAATTATTGTTCAAACATTAACAATTCTCATTTTAAAAGATAAGTTACAAGTTTTCTTTTATCGCGGTTAAAGCACAATAGAAAGTGTACTTTTTTTATCGACACTTTCTATTGAGGAATCGTTTCAAGATCGGCAAGGAACTAAGTGATTTACCTTCTGCCACCGCGATCGCAGGTGTCCCAATCGTAATACATCCAGAGGAAATACAGTAGGACGAAGTAACGTATCGTTTGCGTGTAGAGTAGCAGATATGCCGTGGCGATGAATCCCAAAAAATCCCCGAAAGGGGTGATAAAAACCCATATCGCGACCGCCAAGGTCTGCAGTCTTCTTTCCAGAGGTATGTTTAAGGGCGCGAATTTCACACCGAGAATCTCCATGTTTTTCACCAATTTTTCACGTGCCAGGTTCAAATCATCGGTGAAGGTTCGCTCCTTGTCTGTTAAGTCGTGATACTCCTCGTCCGCGGTCGACGGAAGCACTAGATCGCAAAATGTATTTCTTTTTTATCTAATTTCTCTTTCGACGAGAACCGGTTGCGTCGCTCCGGCTGACTGGAGAACGGCGCAACGCAAAGTGCCACTTTATCAAGAAAGCGCGCACGCACAAAGTCTATCTTTGATAGGGACGGATTGAAGATGATGGACTTTGTATTTTCTATCTTCCCTCTTCGGAATCTCAAATCGATTTTACCTTTCTCAAATTATATTTGCTTCGGACAATCCGTGTTCATATTACGTTCGCGTTTTATGTAACCTCACGTTTTATGTAACGTGTATATATGCGACGAGAAAAACGAAAGAGAGGAATGCGACGACGAATGCTACTTGAATGTAAAAATCGCGATTGTACGCAAATTTACTTTCGGGGGGAAATCGTACGATCGTCTCGAATAAGTAACACGGTTCTATTTTTGACTTTAAATGAATACGAAAGTATACATTATTTCTATTTTTCCTCATAAGAAATTGAAACAGTGCCAGATAGTACGAAGCCAGTTGTGATATATAAACAAATACTTTATAATTCCTTAAGCGTCTTAATCGCTGCTAAACGTACATGTCATGATGGTTCCACCATTGTGAATGAACCGTTATACTCTCTTTTAATATTTATCATTTCAAGAGAGTTAGCTATCTAATCGTTATCAACCTTATATATAATGTCAGTAATATTTTGAGAGATATTAAAAAAACATGTGCGTGTATATTTTATATATCATTTAAATTATAATTTTTAATAAAGAGAATTATTTTCAGAAGAGTATAATGTAGAATGTATTAATAAAAAATAAATTTTAGCCGGCTGGACATTTAATCATAATAATTTATGTAAAAATTAATTATAATAAATTATATAATTATTAAATATTTATTATACTATCAAATACCACGTGGAGATACGAGTTTGCGAAGGAAGAAATTCTAAATATTTCGATGATCAGTAGATATCAGTCAGACCAGACAATGCGATTATTATATTCTATCTCACGAATAAAGCGCGTATTGCATTCGTTAATTATTATTTAATTATATATCAAAGATGATCGTTATGCAAAAATATTGAAATTATTTTATCTAGTTACAGTCGAGATGAGAAAATTTATATAATGATGTTATTTGTATTTGTTTGTTTACGCGCGATGTATTTCATTAGCTGGTTGACCTTGCTTTTTTATATGTATATTCTATGTATTTAGTGTTCGTTAAGCATGGAAATGGTTGCTGAATCTCATGAATATAATAGATTAAATCCTCACCATTACGATTTGAAAACAATTTTTTTTATTTCCAATTATCGTATTTGTGCTAAAACTTCGAGTGTATAGTAACACGAATAATGAAATATTATTTCGTCGAAAATGATTTTCCTTTAGCTCATTTATATAAATCGATTTATTTTCGCATATAGATATGACATCAAATTTTTTCCAATTAATATAACATATATATATGTGTTTTACAATTTAATTATTGATTCTTAATCAATGTCAAACTCATGTAAAAATCTCTATCAATTCAAAATCAATTTGAATGAAAATTCGATTAATTCTCATAAGTGACAAAAAAGAATTAAAAATTTTCAATAAAATTTATAATTCTCGAAATTTATTTATAGATCAGCTGTTTAAATAGTTCAATTTGTTTTAATCTTGTACTGTTCAGGTTGTGTAGATTAGACATACATGTGTCGAACAAATTGGTAAATAACACAATATATAGTACATACATACGTAAATAAATTAGCATAGTTAAATTTTGTAAAAAAAAGTTAAAAATCAAAGGCAGGCATAATTATGAAAAGACTAAAAGTAAAAAATTCCTGTCTGAAATGGAATACTATTTTTTGTATTTAAATTTCCTTCGGCATTTTAACTATATATTTAAACAGTAGAATCCGAATCTTGGGATAAATTTGAACGATGATTTAATCAATTAAACATGCATAAAATTACGTATTCCAAACTGCTTTTTAAATCACTTATTACCAACTAAAGCTCAAATATTTGTATGTCAAACTGTTCGAATAGTAGAGAAACGCGCTAATGAATTCGTTCGGAGTAGGATATACTTTCTCAAAATCTTACTACCTGCTGTACATTTGGTAGCCATCGTCACAGATGTATACGATTTCTCTTAGACGGTTACGTTCTCCTTTGGTGAGGTAGGCCAGGTAGAGGAACAACTAGGTAAATGACTGCTTCTTGCAGACAAAAATGCGCGATGCATCCCGCGACACAAGACGACCGGTTGTATTTGTGTGTAACGTAATGTAAATGTATTTATCTCTTCGACGTCTACCACAAAACGCATTCGGTACGGCGTCATGCGCTTTACTGTTGGATAGATTCGCCGGTAGGAAGAGGATGATGGAACACGTGACGGACCTTGTGCGTGCGGATACGCACAAGACGGCTGTGTCGGTATATTAGTTACATTCCAATGTTCGAAGGCTTGGTATATACCCGACTTACCACGTGTTTGGTCGTCTAAGCGCGATCTTTGAACTGGTGAAAGGGAGACGATTATTTGAATTTCAATATTTTCCTTTAATTCTCGATAAAAAATTCAGAGATTAGGAATTTTACAAGTTTTACATTCACTCTGCCGAATGAAAATAGGATGAAATCATTATTCCATTTGATGTTCTAGCAGTAGCATTATTGTGAAATTGTCCAAAGAATTATTAGGGATTCGTAAGAGAGACTTAATATATATTACACTTAGCAAAGTAAAATATTTAAAATCATATAGGTTTTTATTGAAATAATACGTTTATTATACTCTGTAAAAAAGATACAATGGAGAAGTGCATCGACGAAAATTAATAGAGATTAGTAATTTTGCAAGTTTTACATTCACTCTGCCGAATGAAAATATAGGATGAAATTATTTCATTTGATGTTCTAGCATTAGCATTATTGTAAAATTGTCCAAAGAATTATTAGGGATTTATAAGAGACTTATATATATACTACACTTAGCATGCAAAGTAAAATGTTTAAGATCATGTAGGTTTTATCGAAATAATACGTTTATTATACTCTATAAAAAAAGATACAATGGAGAAGTGCATCGACATCGAGAGAAAATAATAAACGATAAATCGCGCAAGATTTGTTACATTTCAATAATAATCTATTCTTAAGTACAAACTATAGAGAATCACGCGGTAAAGTTAACAAAATTACATTTCATTTGTAACTCAACTGTGCGAGATATATCTAATTACTATGTAAAAAAATAACTAAGCTTAGCATATAATTAATAATTACAAGATTGATTCATTTTTTTTTTGCTTCAGCACTTTCCTAGCTCTGAAACAAATTCAGAGATGTATGATTATAGTATTTTGAACAATGTTCTCTCTCTCTCTCACACATTCTTTTTAATCATGATAACATGCGCACGATAACAAAGCACCATCTTCACACACGTACATAATCGTATGGTTGCTTTTTTTTATCATTGATCATAATTACATAGTTTTGGCGTGATTTAAAGTAAGTCATAAAAGTTAAAAAATAATCAATATTAATTCTTAAGTTTGAGACTCTTACAATAATTCAAAATTTAATTATATTTAAGTTAGTTTGTATTAAGAAAATAAAGATACAGTGACATGCGAAAAAAGCAGTAATAACTGTTATAAAAAAGATTAAAGGTTCGTATTTCATTATTATAGCCATATTGAATTATCACGTTGAAACGAAAAAAAGAAATTTACGAAATACATCGTGATAAATTTTTCATATGTCATGATTCATCTGATTTTATATTTAACATGATGTAAATGAAACAGTCTTGTCACATAATTACTGCTTCTTATATTTTAGTTTTTTAGCATGTTTGAATATTCGAAAATAAAAAAAATTAAATTATTTCTCTCTTGTGGAAAAGAACGTTCATAGTGCAAAAAACGAACTCGTACGCACATTTCGCACACATACATTCGCGTGTATTTCAAATATAGTACTATATAGCTGATTGACTAATTGTTAAGGTCCTAGTCTAGTTGATTTACTTGTCTGAAATTGAAATATTCAAAATTGACACGATGTGGATATTATCACTTCGGAAGAATTACACAACGATTATGAACTAGCAAGACGATAAGTTTTCTAATTATATGTTGTATATTCTCTCATTTGCATATTTCCTATATTTTCACGTCGCAGAAAAAAATTAAAATAAATGTTTGCGATGTAAATCTTCTGCTGCTGATGTAATGCGGGAAGACGTAACAAAATTGTGTTCAGTAATAAAGTTAGAGGCGACGAAGTAAATATAATTCTGTGCGAGTTCGTCACGAGTTTTTAAAATATTCGTTTAAGAAACATTTTTTTTACACATAGCAGATAAAAATATCATTTGACTACTAGAGTAGGACCTTAAAAAAATTATACGATAATCTCTGTAATCTTCGAATATAAGGACTTGTCAGAAGATTCAAGCATAGACTCAACTGTCAGTAGTTATTTAACGTATATATGTCAAATAAATATACTCGACATAACATATTAGATATTTTAATCATACTCTCGATTAATAAATTCCATTATCGTATACAAACTTGTTTCCAAGATAACATCATCCAAATAACAATTATTCATATTTGAAATTAATGTTTAACATTTTTTCAATTTCAAAACTTTTTCAAATAGCTGCATCTCCCCCTTTTTCAATAAAATTTTAAATGACAAAGTAACGACACTATAATATAAAATATATATAGAATAACAACGATCTCCGAATAAAGTTTCATCTTGTCGCTACTTGTTAAACTCGATTGTCAGGGACGGACAGTGAGGTCATTAAACGTAAAAACGCAAAATAGCCTATTTTCGTGTCACTTCGCGATACCATTGGCCCCTCCGAATAGTACGAGGTTAATCTTTTTTTTCCGACTGTTCGTAGCGCGAACCGTATTGAAAGTCTTTGCAAAACATAGACATATGTAGATACAGTAACATGAGAAAATACTACTTCGTCCTTGCGAACAATGGCTAACGTTCAGAAAACTCAACGATCGCATCGATTGTTTGGTTGCGCTTTCTGAATGCAGCAACGCGATTGTGAATAGCACTTTTTTTTTTTAATTCCATAACTGTTTAAATCTCGATCCGTATAAACGCATATACATTCGATCACACGGACGATCGTATCTTCGGCGGAGGTAGCATGGTCAATTAACCCATTGCGTCTTCTCAGCTCGTCCGCGGCTGATTGAAGCGCGGAGAATCTCTTTTTTGTCGCGCTAAAAACCTAATCGACGAAAGATCAAAAAACGGGATGGGGAGAAGGGCGCTATATTTGCCGCGAGGTAGAAGGGAGATAGGAAAGGGAAGGAATATTCGTGATTTATATATATATATATATATATAAATATATATATATATATATTTGGCGAACGTGAGAAATGGGCTAATCGACGCGATTAACAGGTCTTTAACTTCTTTAATTTATATCTTTTAATCGCTAAAAATGCTTAACAACGGGGATAACGATTTTTTTGCCTCCCGAAATACATCGCGAGCAAGCTCTTAAATTTATTGCTTTTTCTAATCTAGGACTGTCCCGTACGTACGACTTCGGTGCTCAACGCTAACATTCCGCGAGTGTTATTTTCCGTATTTCGCGTTGACGTCTCCTCTAGAAGATTTTTTTTTTTTAATAAATCAAATCTCTGTGTGTGCTGAGCGCCGAAGACATGACATCACAGTAAAACATCCAACCGCTCTTTGTTCGTTAGCAGATGATTTATTATTAGTATATATCGAAAATACCGCGGCTATATACGACGACGGCGGCAGCGCAGCACGATCTCTTCATCAACGATGTGACTTAATAAAATATTGACAATATACAATAATCAATTCGCTCTTTACTGTATAACGATTGATATAAGAAAATAACAGAAAGCGATCGACGGTCTGTATTAAGCCAACGTTTAAGTCTAATGCGTCGTCAAGTATCATCCTTTACTCACTCTACTGCTTTCTCAGACAGTAGAGACTACTAAGCTAAGAATCTGCCACGTAATTATTACGTAATATGTACAAGGGCAAGATTAATAATTCAGCTTTCGGATTTCGTTTTTGCGAGCGACGACGACGACGACAATGATGACGACGACGATGATGAAAATACTGATTATTGATGTTTTGGCAGCTGATGTTCGCTCTAAGCGAATAGTAATTTATTAGCTCTATTACTGGATGAGGTGGATACACGCTGTTTTAGCAAGTAACACCTCTAGCAGCGTACATGGTCGGTCCAGTTTTCTCGAGATTTATATACCTACCTTAAACGCGGATTGTCCAGAGTACCAAGTTTTTATATATCTCCGTACTTTCTCGGGGACGTGAGACCCGCATGCGTATACGAGTAAAAAGAACCGATCAACGTCAAAAGCAGGCGGGCAGTGGTTTCTTGATTTTGTATTAATATTTCGTATTAATATTCGCGCGCTGGGCCGATCGTTCTATTCTTTTTTTTTTGTCCTTCCTCCTGCTACAAGCGATCCATCACGAGGCACTTGGACAAATCGATTTCGAGGTATTGCGGAGACGGATTACCTTTTCGAAGACGTGGGTTACCGTATCCAGACAACGTCGTGCTTTACGTCTTATCATTGCCGAGAATCGGCGAGATATACCGGCAATCACGAATCTCATGCTTATGGCTCGCACACTTAAGTGTCGCACCGGTGTCACTGTGATAATACGAACTGTCAATCGTAGAAACGCGCGGAACATTCGATCCGGCCTCGATCTTGACGCCTCGTTGCTTTCGTCTCGATTTTCTGCGAGTTACGTGGACGTTGATGCCGACGACACGACCTGCTCCGGCTGATAATACCTCAGGCCATTTATCTGGAAAAAAAAAAGAAACAACATTTCAATTACTTCTTCTTACAATTTCTTTCGGATGATACATTGCGCTGCGCTTTCGCTGTATACCGTCATATCGTATTCCGTGATGTACGCTGGGATCTCAAGTTGATCAGGCGGCATAACTTCGTAAAGATATTCCACTCCGGGTAGATTGTGAACCTTTTGTTTAATGGCTGGAGCCATGAAGGTCGTGAACCACCACGTCATCATCTGTAACGTCAGCGATCGATTCCGTTTATTTAGAGAAAATTGTCAAGAATATTTTACAAAATCGTGCGAGAAATAGAAGAGTCAGTACATAATAATATTGTCAAATTTTAATTATTAAGCGTTAAACTGTTTCTATTTTTCACGATGCGATTAGATTAACGATTATAGAATTACTGCGCAAGCATATTTACTAACGAACTACGAATAGTCAGGAAATTCGATACGATCGTTGCAAAGATAAATCATTCATTATGCATAAACGTGGGAAGTGCAATAACAATATTCTGCGTGCTTTTGCGTCTTAACAAAACATTTGTTGAGCGCAATTTTTTTTTTGAGTCGTTAGTTTCATGTAATTATAACGCGATAGATATTGTTACTAACCTTGGTCCAGAAAGTAGGATGGATAATGTAGAAATGTTTTAGATTCTTCTTATATCTGTAAAAGAAACCTTGTTTCAAGATCGCTATCAAGTTTCTGCAAACAAAGCGATATCAAGTTGCAAGAGATAATAATTCCATGCAATTTTACCAATGTTTAACTAAGGGCTATGTGTAATTTGATATTTCAGTTTTTCAATTAATTAAATATTATAATTGGATTTTATATCAAAAAGAAAGTAATTTAAATATTAAATGAAAATAGTTTCCATCAAAAGATATGAAAATTAGCACTTAGAATAATTCACATTTCTTTTCGTAATAAAATCAATTTACTAAATAATATTACAATTTACTTAATAATATTAAGATAATATTAAGAGATGTGTAAAGAGAAAATTTCTTTCCTTTAAAAATATAAGCGCACAATTTATTTATTATTAATTGGATTAATTTGTTTAGAATAAATATATCAGGTAATAACAAATATCACAGATATCTCTTGTAACTATTTCATGAAAAATTGTTATATAAAATTCAATTAAAAGATTCAATTAAAAGATTGGTTGGTAGATTGTCATCAAATTTCTTCTATTATCTTAAAATATCTTAATTTGTTCTTCAACTTGTTTTATACGTAAAAAGTCGTGATTCGACGATGTTAAAATGCGATCAATAAGTTCAATGCGTTCGATATTAGGCATATAACTTACTTGTAGGGAAGCACGTTGTAGACTTCGCGTAGCCAGTGTAAACTGGGGTAATTGCTGCTGGCTGTAAGGGTGTGGAAATACGCGATAACGTAGTCACCCTTCACGATGGGATCCAACAGTTGTATCAGGTACAGCAAGGCCTGAAATGCGCGCGAGAAAGTCGAGAAGGTGAAACATTATTTCGTAGACTTTTTTATCGTCGTTTCTATTTTCGTAAAATGAAAAGCGAGACGCAACTATAATTAGTCCTTTAAATTCTCCTGTTAGAGTAAAATATGGTAAAATCCATATTTGCGTAAAAAAAAAAAGAAAACGATGTCAAAGTAAACAAGGGGTAAATACACGTCCTAAAATAAACGCTACGTAAATATTTTCGAGATCGATGAGATGCGAACAAGTGCACGGAATGTTTTTCTCAAGGTTTTTCCACGGCGTTTAATGTAGAAATAAATCTCCCTGCCAATTTTATATCGAAAGAACTTGTGTCTCGCAATTTCATTCGTCCACCTTTAGGAGAGACGCTCAAGATTCGAGGACGAATACGATGTTTCGAGCGATCGATGAACCCACAGCGACGAGCGAGCGCGCAAAGTATAAGAAATTTAGGCTACAAGATAGAACTGTGTTGTCAGGTTAATTTAATCGCGTAAAAATACATTTTATCGGTTGTATAATTTTATATATAGAAATCGTTATTTGGAAATAATTGTCTTTATTGAGTTGACACCAAAAAATGCCACATTTTCCTTTAAAATATTATTTCTTCTTCACCTTTATCGCAAGATAAGATATTATCACAACATATCATCATCGAATTCTACGAGAAAAATGATATGGTCGAAAGAGCTCTACGACGGTTCAGGTCATTTTGCGAACGTATCCTCGCGCGATTCAACTACGCGTGTCCGATGATGATTGATCGTACTAAAGCTATTATGCAATGCATGCGACGATATTGCGCTCGTTATTGTTATTTCGCAAAAGAAGCGCGATTGAAGATTTTTCAAACTATGTTAGAACTTGCATTATCCAGCATTAGAGGATAAATAAAGTCGCCCTAAATGAAAATTACGTCGGGCGTTGTCCTGCTAGGTAAATTGCGAACCGTGTCACTATCTGTATCACGACCCAGGAGACACGTTATCTCAGGTCGCTGTGTAATTAGCTTCCCGACTGGGCGTAAATGCTTCATTTCAAAAGCAGGTCAACGGATACGAGGAGGAGAAAAACGCGGGATAGTAAAAAGAAAGCGAAAAGCTCTCCATCGCTTTAAAATCAGCATCGATTGCGAATGACGCTTCGCGTATTTTTCGGTCTTGGAACACGCGCTTCAAATATGACGCGCTTCGTATATGACGTTGTGTCAACAGCTGCTATACATAACGGTATATTATTTTTAGCTAAACGACGAACCTCCACATCGCTAGATCTTGTTGATGTATCTCGAAATTCGACGTAGCAGAATCGCATTCCAAGATCGCTAGTAATCGGTCATGAGCGATCAAGTTAAAGTAGAAAAATAATAACTTTTCTCCTTTTTACGTAAAGACGTTAGAGATACAGTTCACAAGTCACGTTGAAAACGTGAATACGTTGGTTAGCGCTTGTCAAGGTATTTATGACGTTTCAATGTGCAAGACGTCTTAACGTACATAAGAATGATTCACGTATACTTTTACACCAGAGATTATAGATCGCTTTCTTGCTCGAGCAAAAGCTACGAGTTATAAAAAATATGCGTTTTATTTATTTATACCGGAATGCGATTGTTCAAACCTCTATTTCCAAGTCTCCAAAAAATCGTTTAAGTATATTTGCTCTAGTGCATAATATATTAAGGTATACAAATAATTGATTATAATGATATAAATATTTCATTTATTTTTAATTTCAATTTATTCTTGATTTATATTTCGACAACCACACATGAATATTAATATTAAAAAAAATACCAACAGTTCTCTTTCTAAAGGCAAAAAATCACGAGAAGAAGTCTATATATTTCGGGTATTATTTTCTCTCTCTGGTAATCACGCTGATTATTATTGCATGCGCGGATAATGTGATTATCGCATGCAGTTTACTCGCGTGCTCTCGCCGATGCAAATGGGTTAAAAGGCAACGGATGATGAAGTCTCTCATTGAGGACGGGGGTGCGCGTCGCGACGACGCTGCAATCCGCACGCCCTCCCTTATGGGGGGACTCGTTCCGCGGTCGATCTATTTCTGGACGTATAAATATCGATTCGCCACCCGCTGGCTATATAACCCCGGCTGTGTGCCGGCTATATGAGCCTGAGCGGTATATAAGAATGAGTGCGACGGGAGAGAAAGGAAATGGCACGAAAGCGGGACGAAGATGGGCGCCTGAATGATCGAGGGGTTGCTCGCGTTCCGGAGGGCTATTCTTTCGCGTTCGAGACAATGCGAGATATCGAGAGCGCGAGCGACATGCGCGCGCGAGAGTTTGTTTCCGTGCGCGTATATGTTCGGAATATTCGGAAAAGAAGTACACAGGAAAGTGGTGTACAGTTTCAATCCAGATATTGATTCGCGTCAAACGACTTGAGACACTTTTTTTTTTTATACAGTGACTCACGAAATCGCGATATCCGAGATATCGAATTTATTTTCTAAAGAATTTTCCCGGTGAAACAAATTTTCCTATTAGATGTCGCATCTCCGGATTGTGTCAGTAAAATTAAAGAGAAATAGGATCTTGATCTTTTCAGATTCATTACACAATTTTTTCATCAAATTGATATAATTCGTATTTTATTGTTATATATTTTGATATGAAAACCTAGTGTAAAAACGTGAATTTATCGAAAATACGAAGTGAATTTTATTAATTCGATTGAAAAAATAAATCGTAGTTTCTTGAAGAACAAAGCTTAATATTGCATTATCATATACAAAATGTTTCAAACGAATCGATTAAATTGCAAAGAATGACTATAGAAAAATCATATCTTTGCAACAACCTGGAATTATACTTGAGAACTATATTTTATATATATATATATATATATATATATATATAAAAGATTATATATATACTATATATTAGTCTATAGTAAAATTTACGAAGACATACACATAATTGTGATAATATTTTGAAAATGTCAACTCAAATGATTATATTTAAACTAGTAATTCGATCAATTTAATTGATATCGTACACTGAAAACAAATTATTGGATTCGGATAAATATTTATTTCAATACCGCCTAATAAATTATTTATTTAAAACTAATAATATTGATTTGATGTGAAAAAAATATTTATTTCATATAAGAAAATTCTTTTTAAAACTGATAAATATTTATTTGTTTCGAATAAATGATTTATTAGGCGGTATTGAAATAAATATTTATCCGAATCCAATCATTTTTTTTTTCAGTGTATAGAATCGAACGATATTTGATGACGATGATGGTATTTTATCGCGATGATGCGCGAGCAACTTTCTCCGTGCAATTTTCTTCGTTAATAGGCAACATTGATTTTTAATAAAAGTCTTTACCTTATCTAAATTGATTTTCGTGGCGGGGAACCATTTGCCGACGAAAACCACCACCGGTCGACCTTGTCGATCCACGCCGCTCTGGTAGAGGCAACCAATACCCGAGACCTCGGTCAAATCCTCCGTCTTCGCCCTCCTGAGGAGCCTTTCGTACCTAAAATGATGAATTTCGTCCAGAGTCCTATATATATATATATTAATATAACGCTTGGATTTATATTTTACCGGTCTATTTTTAGTTTCACGGTTACTCGTTCGCGACAAATCAAATCGAGCAATTTTCTTTGAAATTCCCATCTATAATTATATCTCGGATTCCATAGTTCTGCGTATAACACGACGATTCATCAAATTATTCAAAGTTCAGATCTATTTTTATATACGGCACGATATAAAATCTTCAGGGAAATATCATAAAACATTTACGTCACGCACTAAAGTTGACGCGACGTCATATGTTGTACAATTTTATACACGTTTAAGGCAATAATTAATGCGCGATGAGAAAGATCCTGATGCGGTGTGATTGAAATGTAGCCTGAATCTCGCAATATGGCCAATTATCACGTAGCTTTAATTGCTATATGGAAGAACGTGCTGCTTTGCATAACACAAACTGCATATGGTAATGCGTGCATGAAAATACAACTGTGTAATGTGCATTTCGCGTGTAAATTTTACGGATGTGGTTTATCGCAATAAATTCATATATAGCTGCATTGTCACGAATTTGCGCATATAAATAATACATAAACTGAAAAAAATTGTTAATTCGACTGAGCCTTTCAACTAAATTACTATTTTCTTAATTAAACATATGTTAGTATTTAAATCAAATATATACGTTCTGTTAGATTTAATGTTACATTTAATTTAAATCTTTTTGCATGCTCAATTAATAAAATAATTTAATCGAAAGGTTTAGTCAAGTTAATAAATTTTTTTTCAGGATATATAGATTTTCTGAAATATATGCATTGAGTGTATGCAAAACCAAGCCTTTGTTTTCTCTTTCGACAGTCAATCTAGAATACACATGTTCTTTATATCGCGCTAATGAAATTCCATTGGTAAATTAATATCTCGATCACTTTTGAGCCTCGTTCTCCGAGAAATCGTCGAATATAGAACAAATCGGTAAAGTGACGATATCGTCACACGCGAGCATACGAGTTTTCCGATACTAGATCGATCATCGCCAACTTTAATATATTCTTCGACGACAACAACGGTCTACATGTCCGGAATATACCCTCTGGACGAACGCCAATAAAAACAAAAATCAATAGGGAACCGATAACGAGAGACAGGTTTTGTCCGCGGAAAATCGAACAGCTACTCATTACACAAATACACACCGGTCCTCATCCTCGATGACATCCACCATATCAATCATGACCATTCTGATGTGACGTTCCCTTGCGCTAGTTCGATCTGGCCTCGATAGAAAAAAAATCAAATAGGACGAAATCAAGAATTGCGCGATCGGACGCACTGACTCTACACGGACGTCTTTAGCCGCGACATTCGTCGAAGGGTGAAAAGAGGAACCACCTCGGGACACTCTCGGGTGACAGAAGAACCGACGAGCGCTAAGAACTGTCAAGTGCTAATACGCCGAGGGATGGGAACGGCACGACGACTCACGACGAACTGACCGAACCGGAGCGTCTCGCTTCGACGAGAGACCACTTCTCGACCTGCCGACGTCCACGACGACCACGACGACGACGGCTACGACGGCCGGGGTCTCCCGCCGTGTCGAGTCCTGCCTCGGAAGCTCCTACGGCGCCTGCCCGGCTCGCCGAACTTGCGTGTTCGATGTTCTCTCTCGTATACGAGAGGGAGAGAGAGAGAACGAGGCGGTTCGTGTCGGAGTAGGAGATCTCCCGCGAGAACCCGTTATTAATTCGGGAAATCGCGGTGTGCGTTATTCATTAATTACGGGTAAATGCTACTCCGATATAGCCTTGAGCCTGTCAACGTGTGTCATTTAATTTTCCGTCACGCTTTTTTTTTTCTGACCGTAAACCGGACGATTAGGCGAGAGAAACAGGATGAGAATCATCGAGCTATCTCGATTTCTTCGCGTTAATTCGAGTCGGGTAAAATTTGCATACCGTGTGGAGGCGGTTTTGCGACGAGAAGAACGCCAAGGAGCGTCGCCTAGATATCTTTTAGCGTGAACTTATCATTTTGAAACAAGTCGAAAAACTGGAATTAAATATATTGCGTGTAGATTCCACGTGCTAAGTAGGTTTTTATTAAAAATGATTTTATTAGATAGAAAATTCAATTGATTAATTCATTTTTATAGCGTCTTTTATTGGAGTAATTTGGAGTAATTTTGGAGCATCTCGTTTGACGAAACAGCTGTTTCGATATGAATAGGATAGCTTTCTCTTAATGATCGATCATACATTTTCGACCAAACGACTATGAAGGTCGATTTAAAATATAGAATAAACACTTGGATATGCAAACGACATATCGTTATTAAAATTATTCTTGACATTGTGGAGATATTAGACAGTCTACTAAACTTAAATGCCCGCGTTTATAATCGTATCTCGATCATATCTTAAATTCTTATTTGCATGTGTGTTTTTCGAAAGAATAATTTTCTTTTAGACACACTTGCGTAACAGATCGCTTCAATCGAGAGACGCAATTTTTCGTTGTAATTATTTTAATTTTAATTATATTTAAATTATATTTTTTATTTTAATTAAAATAAAAAAATATAATTTATGAATATAATTAAAATCAGGAGGATTTCGACGAAGGGGATTTCTAAAGGTCACGCATTGACGTTGCACATATGTTGATGAGTTAGTGTTCCGCCGAAATTTGTGCGTAGTAGGAACATCCGGTGTTCGAGATTATTTTAGATTGAAAAGCACATACGCAGCTTTATTGATTTATGAAAATAATCGTCCTATTTCGCGAAATTTTCAAAGATTCGTAAATAAAACGACATACGTTTAATGAGAATTCGTCATTATGTTTTTTAGAATTTTATGCATAAATTTACCTTAACTATCTGCATATATTAATCTCGAATTGAGTCATAAAAAAAAGAAGTTAAGTAACATACGTAGTACAATGTAGCATTGCTTCCTAAATAATTTTTTCCAAGAAAGAGAATTAGATAACAAACTACAAAGACACTAATATTCCATGCGATTACGATCGTGCATTAATGTCTGAAGCATCATGTTCTTGCTTGAAACCGCAGTTTCGTGTGACCCTGACTTCGATTAAACGGATACAAGGTGTTTTATCGAAATCATTAAGTGACAGCATTCTCTAATGCATTTGGACTAATTTGCGAAATTATATGCGTGAAGACAAAACATGTGTTATAAACGCAAAATTCGACAGTATATCGCAAGATTATTATTGTGTCGATATACCATATGCTAATAACATTTTGCGATGTACGAAATATCGATCGCTATCTTATTAAAGTAATTATTGGTTATTATCAAAGTTTTTTTCAAGCAAATTCGCTCGTATAATAAACCATTCTAGTCACGCGTGGGATTTTCGTTTCGTGTGATAAAACGAACTTGTCATGTTGATATAAAATGTAGATGGTGACAATCTCGATCTAGAAATAAACATTAATGCGACAGAAAACGTCAGACTCGCACGAATGATTTATTTCTATGACGTAAGAGATATTTCGGTCTGATATTAATTAGAAATTAATATTACGAAGTAAACTTTGTATGTACGTCATACAAAAGTCGATGATAAAGAAACGATGATTAGATATGATGATAGATATGCTATCATCATCGAATGTAATGGCAAATAAATAATTAGATATCATTATTATGTGTCAACTATGTTAAAAAACTTTTACATATTTTATTGAATCTTACATTCGAAGGATGATTTATCTCACTAGTTTCACTCTTATTAGTTAAATATTATTGATGAACGTTAATTACAAAATCAATACGTCAAAAGATGTTCAAGATTGCTGACGAGTATTAGCAAAAATAAATAAATAAATAAATATATGTTAACTTATGGTTGATCTATTTTTTAACTTGTAAGAGAGATATGCTGTGCAAAAAATCTATATAATTTTTAACATTTATGAATATTTATGAGTCGTGGAATTAAATTAAACTCAAATGAATAGTTTTGCTGCTAAGATATCTTCGTTTTACATACTCGTAGATAAAATGTAATTTTCATTTTGTCGATATAGGAGAAATCTGTTAATGGTCAAACATTGTTGTTCAAATTGTTGTACCTATCTGTAGAAAAGGTAGTTATTCTGCACGAATATATTATTAATGTTCATTACATTACGTAAATAGGTGAGAGGACGAAAAAATATATTATCGAATCAAAATGCATTAAAATTTGTTGCATTTAACAAGAAAGCAATTGCAATTTTCCCTTAAACATTTTTTAATAATCCACGAAAGTTTAATATGTTAATTAAGCAAATTATTTCTTTTTTAATTTATTTGACACATATAAATCCAGCATTTTAAAATATGCAGAAAATATGTCAAATAGATTTAAAAATGATTAAAAAACATTTAAGGTTTTTAATTCTTTTCTACAGTCATATTGGATTATAAGAATCGAAAAATTATATGAATAAATTTTTGAAATTTTTGTCTTGTACTAATTTTTTAACATTTCCTGTCTCTTAATGTTTATGTCACAATTCTCAATTTATGATACCTAATTGTGCATCCAAACAAGAGCAGAATAAGAACAGAAACTAATTCAATGTTTTTTTCTCTTTTTCAGAATGTTTAGGATGGAATATACAAGCAATGCTACAAGTTCTACGCTTATATTTGTGAAGGATAAACGAATGTACATTGAAAAGACTTCAACAGAATCTCTGCAAGAGTTGTTAATGACAATGTAAGACATTAATGGTGAGTACTTAGTGCAATCATTTATTCGTTTAATACCGACTAAAGCGTAAATTGTTTTGATAATGAATTTGTTTAATGGACTTAAATTAGAGATACCCTGTCTAATTTGCTAAAAGTACTAACAGTTGTAAGTTTATTACAATGCTTTAATTTAATTATAAAAATAGACTCGGCATCCTTTTGATTTAAATATACCGATCATATTTTAGTATTCATTAATAATTGCAAAATTAATCCCGTTATTGTATAAAAATTATTTATATTATTTCTAATCTTAGTAAGATTATTAGACCAATATCATAAATTCATACCTTTCTTTTTGTTGCATTTGCTTGAGCATAATATCCGCTAGTGGATCAGCAGGGGGTCTTTCTCCCAGAAGTCTCTGGCGATCCAAATCACCTTGCATTTGTGCAAAGGCATGCTCTCCAATATTCACAGAGGTTTCCAATTGTGCCGAAAGTTCCACCGTTTCGTCGCCTAAAAAACGCAATACATTTTTTAAAGAAGCATTACTTAAACCATACGCAGCTGCAACATTTTATAACATGCTCTTTTACCATGCAAAGCGTGCTGAGGATTGTCAATAATTCTGATTTGTCTATCTGGGAGTAGAGGTTCCCCGTCCTGTCCACCAATATCATTCGGCAATTGCCAACAAGCGTTATCCTGCTCCGCCAGATTTCGAGGAAAATAAAGTGGCAGAAGTATTTCGTAAATTCCAAGGTCGCAAGGTTCCAGTACAAATATAATACACGTTAACGAATCGCTATATTGCTCCATGAATCTGCGTACGGTTCCTATAAAAAGAAATCATTTATTTATCACATATTAATCGGATATTATTGCTTATATAAATTTACATAAACATTTGCATTTGTACTTACTAAGAGCTATATGCGCTCCTGCGTCTGGTGGATAATTTCTTCGTACTGAATTTATTACTGGTAGAGCAATGGTACGAAGTCCCATTTCTTTTGCTTTTTGTAAGACATTTCTATGACGAGAAAATAGAATTAAAATATTAATTATTAACATTTCTTTTATGAGAACTTGTTTCTTGTATATTAGTGTGTAAAAATAAGGCAATGATTATGCTTATACATATATGAACGAATGCTGTAAATATTTAAGTAATGTTTAAATACCTATAGCAACAATGTAATGTATTTTGCGCAGCTGTTTGATACTTGACATTATAAACTGGTCCAACAGTATGAATAATAAAACGAGCAGGTAATCCATGACCCTGTGTTACTCTCACTTCGCCAGTTCTGCATTCTGCAACATTTTAATGGCAGATGATTAAGATAGATCTCATTATTGTATGTATATAATTAGTACAACTATTATAATACCTTTTACTTCATTATATATTTCTATCTTAAGCGCAGAACCAGCTCGGCTAAATATTCTTTGGCACATAGGACTATTATCATCCATTGTCTCGTTGGTAGGATTCACTATAGCGTCTACTTGTAATATTGAGATATCCCCAGTCCTGAAACAATTCATGTAACATTAATATTATCGTACAATCATATTACAAGTAATTAAAATGCAATTAAAAGTATTCTTTGAACTGTGATTACTAATAAAAGTCACTTGTAAAGTCACGTAAAACAGCACTTAAGTTTAAGGAGAGTCCGAATATCTCGGAGTAAATGTCTTACCATAGCGCGAGCTTGTTGTTAAGCGATGGTTGACACGGGAAGGGACTTATAGCGTGATGCGCCGTTTCTCTGACCGATTCGGAGTAATCCGTGAATCGATGCTGGATGGGATAGTCGGCCCATCGTTTTAACGCAGCCGGCTCCACGATGTCCTGGGCGACACCCAAGGGTTCCATCAGCCTCATTCAGCTGAAAATCACGTCATAAACGCTTTATCGATCGCGCACTTTTTATCTCTATTCCTAAAATATGAGAACGTGGAGGCGCGAACGCAGGCCCTTTGTTTTCGTATCAGCTGTTTCGATCCCAACCTAACCTTCCGTTTCTGCCATTTCTGCCTGACGCTCTGACGTGCGTCATATGCAGCGCGGTCATTGACCCGGAAAGGGGACATGCGACATTCGTTCAGTTGGCTATGCACGCTTGACGCAACAACCGGTTGCGTAATTCAGGGGCTACTTACGTCTTGCACAGGTAATGAAATATGCGTTTCCAACAAAAAGATTAATAATTAAATACAGGGTGTATCTCCCATAGGCATTTAAATTGCTGAAACTAATCAGCTGTCATTTTTTAATGCATATGCAGTTATTGCGAGAACAAAAATTGTGTTGGAAAGAGGAAAGTCCACGCAGTTTCGTAATGGATATAATTAAATAAAATGTTTGTATACTAGTTTATTTTTTATTGATAAAAAGTAATGCAAAAGTGCTAATAATCACATAAACTATAATGATAAATATTTTCAACAGTACCAAGATTTAATAGCAGCTATTAAAAGGATCATCGATAACATTAAAAATGACATGTTAGAAAAAGTTTTCGTAAAAGAACAGTTTTGTACAAATTCAAATGGTGCGCACTTCGGAAATATTTATCATTTAGTTTACATATGTATATGCGATATTATTAGTATTTTTTTTTAATAAAATAAACTGATATACAAATATTTTATTTATATTCATAAAAAACTGCAAACTTTCCTCTTTTCAACACAATTTTTATTTTTACTGCATACATTAAAAAATGACAGCTGATTATAGTTTCAGCAATTTCCTATGGAACACTCTGTACATATATACATCGTGTCGAATTTATACTTTTCGAAATAAATTCTTTAACGGGAGAATTCTCGAAATTGCTTCATCCTTATATTATTGGAGCCATTCAAGATTTATTCAAGCCAGTATCCATTGATAAATCAATCATGGAGATAGGTATAATTGTGACATTTCAAGCGTTCTATAATAAAAGCAACGATATATATATATAAGTACTACATGAATTCTCAGGATTGAGATACGTTCGATTTGCATAACGAAGGCACCATGTGCCAGTGTATTTTGTCGCGTATTCCTAAAAATAAACGATTCCGTCGATAAAAATGTGGGCCGCGCACCACAATCAAGGATAGAGCTATACTCGACCAAGGACGCAATTCTCAACGCGAGCGATTCGAAAACAAGCTTACTTTCCTGTATTGGGATAATCGGGATTGCAATCGCGATTGTCCCGTTGTCCAAGGAAACTTTTATCAGACAATACGTTTACCTACATTGCGTCTTTTGTACATGAATCGCAGCAAAAAAAAATATAAAAAATCGTGCGATTAACGTTGCTCTGTTCCTGAAATGTTATCTCGTTTTATCTCGAGTTTTATCGATTTCTTAGATATGTAAGATATAAAAGAAAGGAACAAGAGAGAGCGTACGCAGAGAGAATTTTTCACAAAATTTTATGTTTGGTAATAAGCCGAAAATCGTTCATGATAATGAACGATTAAGCTGGACTGAAAATAAATATTATATTTCATTGTAAAATTTATACAAAATATTGTCACAATAATACCTATATAATTTATATTTTTATACATTCATTCTATTTAAAACACTTAAAGAATCATAAGGTTTTAATATATTTTCAAATTATTAAAATCTTAATTACTATATATTTTAGTGAAATTAATCAAACATATTTAATATTTTATCGTGATAAATATTAATCGGAGAAACTCCTATAAAATTCTTCCAATACTATATTGTTCCATAATTACCATGAATTTCAGGCTAAATCCTAAGAGAAAATTCTCTCTGTGTAGTAATTTGCGAAATGCGCATCAGATTCGATTATAATACTGTATTTACTGTAGATTAAATTCCTCATTTATTGTGCTTCTTCCTCAAATTTTATTATATGTTTCGGTTTTTATTGCTTTCGTGATCGAATTATTTGGAAGTATGCACACACGCGAGAAGATATAGCTGGATATCCTGGCCGGAGGAGTCGGAAGGCTGGCGCCGTCTGGCCTCAAGCGAATCTTACGTTCTGGCAAACCCATTAAGAGACGGAGGATCGTCGACCTCCATTATCAGAATAATTTACACGTTGCCCGCGACACGGTAGTACAAAGAAATCCCTGGATCGCGATACAAAAAAAACGTCGTCGTTCTTATTTGTATCTCGGCGAATGCGATAATGTAATATAGATATCACGGAGACGTTTGCCCTTTACTGGAATAAAACTGGTTTCAAGAAATCGAGTCGCTTCGGGATCCTCGGGTATTATCGTCGTTCATTCGAACTGTCCCAAGGATAATTTAAACGTCGATTCGAATCCAAGAGAAAAAGGTTTGATATATGAAAGTATATGCTCCACTAAAAAGATAAAGAATATCTACGATCAAAAAAATATCTATATTTAGTGGAGGTGAAAAAATGTCGATTTGCGCTGTTTTTATGCGGACGTGGAAGTGCAGCTGCGCGATTGATATTGACATTTCGATTTTTATCGAGAACGAGTTAATAATGATAGAAATTTATCACGCGACTTCGCTCGACAAAATGAAAACCCGCGGTTTTAGAAATTGAAATTGTCCTATTTGCATAGGCGAGGAAAGGTTAAATAAATGTATACGTACGAGTTTTTGTAGATAGCGAGCACAGCCACGTGTATATTAGTTATACCATATTGAGAATGAGCGGTTTACCTTTACAGGATAGTTTACCTATTATTTACGTAATATACTGACTACACCAGCTTTCTTATTTAACTATAAACAGCCTCGCGTATACACGGTTGACCAATCAATCGATATCTCGCGTTCGCGCGAAACAAACGCTCGCTTTTCATGTCATTGCTGGAGCTCAAGGTATATATCAAGCCGATATTACATTCTCATATTATTATTTAGCATAACGTAAACTAATGATATAGCTATTAATTAGCGGAAGCTATTATATGTATATATATATCGGATACTCTTTGCTACAATATGTAGACAGATGTCTCAGGATTATCTCACCGTTGTCTGATTAAAAATATCTCTGTATTACATTACGAGGGTAAACGTGTAATGGCGTAAAGTTACGGGAGGCTAACGTTCAACGGAAAGTGTATGCGTTTAACGACCCTGCACGTCTAATAACTTTACAGCCGGCCGATAACACTGGCGAGGATCCGAAGGGTCAAAGCCGTTCGATAAATTCAACTTCAGAAATAGATCCGAACCACACATCGTAAATAAGTAATCGGTCCCGACGAGAGCTTGCGATAAAATCGCTGCCTCGGGAAGAGGGTCGCGATACGGCTTAATAAAATAACGGCACAGGGGCTTCGATCTTGCCCGGACACATATAGTTGACATCTCGGACGAATGCACCGGCGAAGCCGTTTCGTTCGGGGTTACATATATAGGTAGATATTCTCTGTGACGCGACACGAGGGGCTTCGCGAACGAATCCTTTTGTGCCAGCGAGGTGAAAAGTTGGGGAAAAAATCTATGGATATAGAAATCGACGGATATCGACGTGGCTGGCTGTTTTCACAAAGGTCCTCATCCAAGGTAGCGTCTTCATGATTGCTCAAACCGCGAGTGATCGCGCGTTTTTTTTTTATTGTATACGATCTTTTTTAATTCGGTAGATTCTCCGCAAAATTAGGTAATTCAAGTTTAGCGATCTCTCATCGCAATATATGTATTTTATGACGTCGGATATGCGAATTTCTACTCTCCACGTCGAAATAAATCAATTTTAACGAACGTACCACTCCTTTATAACGAACGTATAATTCAATCTATACCTATACGTGTCCTATAAACATTTTCAGCGAAAATATATATCTTATCGCACTTAATCAAGATTTATAGCTATCTATTAATACACGAACTACAAACGCAGAAAAGGAGGATATTTTCAGCATATGTGACAAATATAAAATATATTTTATCGATCCCGAGACAGTGACATGTAAAAAAAATTACATATGTATGTATGGTACAAGGAAAAAATTTACATAGCTTTGTCGCGTCCGACGTCATAATCCAATATGCCTGAAATCTAATGAAAGATCAAGAGTATGTTTAATAGAATAAATCCGTCGAAATAGTAGGTGTAATGAAGCGTCAGAATTCATCAAATGTTTTGAAATCATTAATAGTTCGTCTGCTTTCTGATTATATCGAGAGAATGGCAGATCCGGTTAGTGATAACACGTTTGTCTGATTTTCCTTGGTTTACACACTGATAAAAGTTGCCGGTGCACACTTGATTGTTCACGACGAGATGATAACCCCATCGATAAAGCTTTTTACATTTAAGAGAACTCCGCTGTAAATTGCCGCTTCTAAATAACTGCGCGTTTTCTTTATCTCTATTATTATTTCTGTTATTAGTTTTTCTTGTGTTTTTGAAAAATATATACTTTTTACAATGTACAAGATATTACAAAATTAACGACCGTAATTTTAATGACAAATTCTTGAATTTTTTAAATTTAAAATTCTTTCATTTATATATATAATTCAAACTATTGGATATTTTTATAACGATAAAACATTGACATTGAGAAACTACATTTAATGCGAGATTATCTACGTATATCGATTACTGTCCACGTGTCGCTGTCATGTTTATTTGGTCATTAGTATATATTATATGTATAATATGTTTTAATGCGACATGAAGTATCAAAGTTGATATAAAGTTTACATGACTACAATTATGACTTTGAACGTGTGAATCATTAGTCCATCGTACATTAACTCGATGACTCAGTAAAGATGACGCAAAGTAAATATTCGTAACATTCTTTTGCCTTCGTTAAGCACCGTCAGGTATATGCAAGAGAACGATAACGATCAAATCGATGATTATGAAATATTAGCAGAGTATCGATTTTTCTTTGCCGTTAGACACGAATTCTGAATTCACCGTGCAAACATAAATTGTTTTTGCTCGGTTGTTCATATTCCACCTCTCGTTGGAATTCCAAGATTCTGATTACTTCGGGGTCTCGCTTAGGCGAGAGTTTACGTTCACGCTGAAATCAGGAATTTCATTCTCGCTGATATTTCAGAGAGATATTTTCTTCGCTCGAAGTTATCGAAAAGCGGACGTAAAACGACAGAAAGCGACATGTACCATATGACGTAAGACTCGGTATACAACGTACTTGTATACAATGATGTATTTAAAATATTACGTCATCCAACGAGTTAGTTTCTGAAGCTCGACTGTCGGTGATTACGTAGAAATCGTTTATAAACCGATGTCAATTGTGTGACGCATTGCGTTTCTCGGAATGGCTAAAATTATGCAAAAAAAAATTTTTTTTTTTTCAAGACTTGTAATTTTTTATCATATCATGCTTGTGAAACAAATATAACTTCCTTTTCTTTACATAATGGAATAAATTAATTTTTCTGTGCATTTTGTCACTATTTGACAGAGTAGATTTTTATAAATATCAAGAATTTTTCATCATTATAAATTATTGCGAGAAAATGTATAAGGCAAATGTACAATGTATATGCACAAATTGAATTTCTTTTTATTAAATAATAAAAACGTACGCAAAGTTAACCGATACTTTGGATGTATAGTGCAAAGAAAAAAGTTTACATAATTTTTCACCTCTGACATCATAACTCGATATGATTGCAGCGAGAAAAAACTATTATCGTATGAAAATTCTAGTAAGACATTCCGAACGATTGATTGTGATCGACTCGAGATAGAGACTCGTGTCTCTCCTGATCGTTTAATAATTTCGTTGCTTGCTTGGAGAATCGTTATTGCGAAATTAATCTCTATATGTATGCATTTCGCAGCTACAAAGATGGCGATAAGTAGCAAGTGAGCGAATTGTTGTTGTGGAACGTGTTTTGCATCGTCTCGTAAAGTATCTACCTACGCTCGTGCAACGCCTACGAGAAATGTCGTCACAACGGAAGTCATGCTAATTAAGGAACAGTTCAGAATCGCTAGATATATCGTCACCAAAGATATTTAGCTTCTTTCTTTTGCAAATGATTTTCGTCGAGCTTCTCGATAGAATGGATGCTGCATTATAATGAAAATTAATCAATACACGCGCGATAAATTAATAATGAACATATGTGCAATTATGCCTAATAATGTAATATAGCTGTGTTATTGTGAAAACTTCTTTTTACTTGTAAGAAATTATAGCGTTCAGTTAAAACACGCGGTTAGTATCGATGTATTATACAGTATATTCTAAATTGTGCTTTGGAAACTTGTAACGTGTAGGTGTGTCTGTCCTTCATCGACGTATAATTATCGTTATCGAGACGCATTTTAAATAGAGTAAGAAAATAAGCTCAATTTGAAACTAGTATAAAAAGTAGTTACATCTCTCGCTTATTTACTTTATAGAATAATATTTAATTTATATTAATGTAATGTTGTGTGTCTGATAATTTTATAAATATTTATTGATTGTAAAGTTTCAATATCAAATGTTATATTTTTAATTGCAATTTATCGGATCTAATTACCTTCTGTTTTATATTCGACAAAATAAAATAAGATAAATCGATTATTATTTATCCGATTGGAATACGTTTCGTAAATGTTTTGCGAAACATCTGATTGTATGATATAATGCAAAACGAGAGTAGAATTTTAAAAATCAACAAGACCACGTTATACAATACGAAAAACGTCGATAACTTGGCGCAATTAATCGAGTCACGGAAGTATTTCGCGAACACGATGCATACCTAGGAACACGAGCGATCGAGGTCGATGTAATGAGAGGCGACTGTCCTATTATTTCCTCAGTGCTCAAAGAAACGTTACGGTACCTCAAGCGCATTATCAAAGGTACTCGCTGAACCGAAGGTCGCTGCGACGACCAGCAATTGTACGAACGAATGACCTAAATTGAACGATCACGCTATTAAGAGAGCGGCCGGATATCAAATTTTAGTAGAATACTTAATAATATAAAATATATCCTATATATCTTTTAATGTTCTTACGGACACTCGTGGAACATCATCCGCAATAAGGAAATACGCGAAACGTATATGATAATAATGTAAAATATATCCTATATACTGCATAATAAATTCACGATAAAAAATATTTCGTGGAACATTATTCGCAATAAGGAAATACGTCAATAAGGATATATTTTACAATGCGTTTCACGTATTTCCTTATTGCGGATGATGTTCCACGAGTCTGTAAGAACATTAAAAGATGATTTGAGTTTACGATGCCTTTTAGATGCTCATATTGTTCGAAGATGATCGATTTACGATTATCGCCGGATATATTTCCGTATCAAATTTTAATGATTCCTATAAGCTTTCACCGAGATCTCTCTGGGATTTTTTAAGCGTCTAATTTAAGCAGGTCGTGCATTTTCATTTGACAGGTAACAATGACAGATGTGAGAAGAAAATTCACGTCGTTATAGTTAACGTAAATATATTTATGAGAATTCCAAGAGGATAATTCTTCTCTTGCATATTATAAGATTAATCAAATTGTCGATCGAGCTGACAATCATCGTGTCGTAAAAAATTCTTCAAACTATTCGAGAACAATGGCTCTTCCTCACTCTTCTCTCTCTCTGGAACAGTAATAGCCGAATCGGTCCACGCGCGAACCAATCGACGTTCGGATGTCAAATGTACAAGGCCGAAAATGCATGACCTACATTATCAATACGCGACCTCCATCGCGGTAGATATGACGCGTAGCGCGACCCATCGATAGTTCGCAGCAAAACGAGCATCGATCGTGCGTGATTTAAAGCGGCTTAAAGCGTACATCCGAATAATTCTCGCGAGCGGGAATTATTTCGGATTGAAGAGATCGTGATTTAAACACCCGGAGCAATAAATTACGATTCGAGAACGTTCAACCTGAAGAATTAATCTCAATTCGATTATCCGTGATAAAAACCTTTACATTTGACGGATTACTTTTTTTTAATTATTACATTTAAAAATCGCAAAATGCAATAATTCTACCGAAAAAGAAATAATGCAACTCGACCAAGATTATCAGATGTTTCTATTGAAAATTCTATTCGTCGTATTTTTTTTTTTCGTTATTTATTTTTCGCCGCGCGTTCGTAGATGTATTTGATAATTTAAGTACAAATTTTAAGTGATGTGCGATAAAAACACAGATCAATCAAATTAAATTTTGCATCTACGTCGAGTATTAATCAATATATATATTTACTGATTTAATATTTTTTTTGCAAATGATTGCTTAGAAATATGTTGTAGCTGAAGAAGTGACGATAGATACGAGAGATCTTTTTCTTATTTTATATTTAACGCATGTATATATTCATCTCCCAATTGTGTAACGTTACACACAATTACAATCGTCGAATATTCTTATTTTCGTAATTCTACCGCAGATATGAAAGTCAGATTATGCATTTGAGAGACATCATGCTCGCGACAAGGTCGATTTTTTAATGCACATTTCCAAGTCCGAACGAAGAGCAAAGTTCGTATGGATGATATATAAAATATGTGAAGAACCCGTTCCATAAACTGAGAGCGAGATTTTATCCTCTCTTCCTTCCCTCTATCCCTAAAGAGAATGCGGTCGTATAACAATGAAATCGAAAGGCGCATAAAATTCTGTGTAACGTCCAATAAAGGAAAGATTTCTTTTTCTCGAATCGTTCTCGTCACGTCAAGGCGCAAGAATGTTGAATGTCGAATGCGAGAGACACGCGGGAGAAAATGTACGTCGCGAATTATCGACGTCGCGCGCGGGACGTGCGTACACCTCTATAGCACCGAGCGATGTGCGCGATCAAGGTCGCCGCGCACCGCGTCGCGCTCGGGTAGTCGATGATGAGCATCGACTTCTCGACCTTCCGTAATGAGGAAGCGCTCCGGCGAGCAAAGCCTAGTTGACAACAAAGGCGATTTATTCGGCCAGATTCGTTCCTCCGTCTTTGTGATCAGCGCGAGAGAGTTTGACAGCCGATCAGCTGATCAGCTGTCAAACTCGCGCGCTCATATTACGGCGCGTGGTTCTGCCCTTCTTCGAGCGGGAAAGGGTGCGGACTTACGTGCGCATTTTTAATTTCATTAGTGTTTCATTGGTCGGGTGTGTGTGAGTTTTTTTTTATGAAATCTCTTCGAGAGATCTCTTCCTCGCGGTGCTATAGAGTAAAATAAAAATTTCGTCGCGCAAGACACGCAATTTTCGTTCCAGTGTTTGACAGAGATTGCGTTGGGCGATTAAACAAAATTGAAGAATTGTTGTTTCAGCACACACATACACACATAATACACGTACTTGTATTTTATCAGATAGTCCGCGTATCTTGAGATTCAGCGCAATTGAAGATAATCTATCGCGGCAATCTTTCCTGTTGTTTAACAACACCTTGTAATCGGCTTACGTATAGTAATCGCTTAACCCTCCGACAGGAACGCGCACGTATATATCACAATAGCGATTCCGGTATGTTAATTATTACGTGTCGTCCCACAATCGTCTACGTCTATATAATGCTCCACTGGATCCTACGGAACAACTGAATGCGAACTATCCTCGCGGGATATGTAGTTGAAATAAACGCGTGACTCGTATCGAGCGAACCTCGACGAATCTGACGGATCCGTTTTCGCGGCACCGATCTGTCAAATTATCCGTTCTCGCGGGACTGTTGCGTCGTAAGTGGAGCACGATACGATAACATAACGACTGGCCGATCGTCGAGAGATGATCGCGTTGTAACGAAACGGCGAGATTCGAAGGTACATTGCGCGGAGGTGTCATCACCGGGATGTTCTCTCACCTTCGGTTCGTCCGCCAGTCGGACTGCTGCAAGGATATAGCGCTAAAGCAGGTCACAGCCCCTGTCGTCGCGGATGCCCGGCGGAACGCCTTCGGGCTACCTGGCCGTGTCCTCGTAGACTGACGAGAGGGAAAGAAAAAGGAGGATGAAGTGCAAAGGAGAGAGAAAAACAGAGAGTGAGAGAGAGAAAGGGAGAAAAAGAGGGAGAGGAGCGGAGGAGCCCTTTAATCTCCTTCCTCTCGTTTCGCGTTGGAAACGTCAGTTCTGCTCTCTTGAGCTGGACTCGTGCGAGCGCGGCGCCGAGTAAAAACCCGCCACGACGACGTCGACGACGAGGACGACGACGACCGACCGACCAACCGACCGTACCGTCACATTCGTGCGCGAACGCTGACTGACGGACGCGCGCGCGACGGCCTTGTCGGGTCCAAGCCGATCGGTAGACGGCTGGCGGCAGTGCGACAGCGCGCGCGCGGTGTTCGACACTAGGCGTCGTTCACGGATGTTTGTACCTGAAGCTGGAGCCTCCGAATCAAACGGAGCGCGTTTATCTACATATTTAAAGTAATATTAAAAATATAATATATATAATTTTGGGTGTCCACGAATGCATCATTTGTCATACGTCATTTGTAATGTTATTATATCACTTGTGTGACTTATTAATATATAATTTATGAACACAATATTAATTATATATATATGTGCGTTTGTAATGATAAGATAAAGATTTTTGTAAAAAATTATGTTATAAAGAATGCCCTTAATTCTATAGCTTTCTGTGATGTACAATATTTATTGTCAAGTATATTTCTATATGTAAGTATATATGTATATCTATAGGTATACATATGTATATATAATAAATTTTATTATTCCAACTCATTTTGTAGCGACATTTTAATGATTCGTAAACTATATAAATTGATAGATTTTATCTAGATTTATATTGTTTTTTTCTTCCGGAATTTGTCAGAATAAGAAAGTTCTTTTGACAGATCCACCGACGAGATACTTTATCTCGTCGGCGGTAGTGTGCAGTTTGAAATCAGCTGTTATCTGTCAAAATAGAAGTTTGGCTCGATGAATTTTATCAAGTACTACTTTATCTGCGGTAGATTAATTTATCATCTAATAAGTTGATATACCTATGATAAAATAGTACTCTATATTTCTCGTATATATATTGATTTTAAATATAGAACAACACAAGCGCGAACTACGCGCACCGTTTCTAGATTTTAGATTAAAGAGATTGATATTTAAAAAAATAATATAAAGTTTACTTAAACTCTATTAATTTTGTTGATAGAAATCAGCTGATTAAAGCGTTAAATTGCTAATTAAATTTTAAGATAATAATATAATTTAAAAATTAAAATAGTAATATGTAAGTAACATGTTATAATATCTTATCCTCGATTTATATTTTTTGACAGAAATCAGCGGAAAATATTAATCGAGTTTTCAGTATTATAATATATTATAACATTATTTCATATTTTAGATCCAATGCATCAACTACATAAAAAACTAATTGTTTCAAAGTAATCCCCAAAGTAATAAGTTTAATGTGGTTTTTCTCATTTATCACGAAAAAGGCGCAACCTAGGACAAAGGGTGGATTTGTGGATCTCGTCGATTTCTACAAGATTACCCAGTAAAATATGCAATGACAGCTGTTCACGAAGGAAGCAGTAAGCGTAACGACAGAACCATTTGGCATTCAGCACATCGTGGAAAAGAAGCAACAACAATACATCTCGAGACTTTTAAAGGACTTGGACATATTCAAAGATTAACATGCCCTTTTTCAATAGGGAAAATATATATGTAATATTTTCTTACACATATTGTTCTAAGATATGTCTATATTTTGTGTTTCATTTTATAATTCACATTTCAAATTTTAGTTTAAAAAAACCTTTAGAGAAAAAATAAAAAATAAAAAATTAAAGATTACAGATATCTGTATTTTTTGTGATATTTCAGTAAACACAAAGTAACAGTAATATAACATCATTGTTACTGTTACTTTGCGTTTACTGGGATAGAATTTAAATAAAAGGAACTAAAATTGATCATTATTGTCTCAACAATTAGTATTTAAAATGACGATATTGAGCGTGCAATATTACGAATAAAAATGTAAAAAAATAAATCCTTTGATCTTCCTCTTTATACAGCGATAGCGATGACGAACAGTTCGAAAAACTACCTAAATATAGAATACGTGCGGTGCTATTGTTAGAACATTTTCCCGAGTGCATCAGAGTGCCGTATGAAGATTTGAAAGCGTCTTAAAATAGATGTTGATTCTGTTAACTGTCTGTAGTTTCTCAAGAAGGAATTTACAACAGAAGCGATTACAATGAACTACGCTTCATTTTATTCTCGAGAAATAAAAGTAATCTTTGTAACTATATAAATATCTAAATAAGATGACATATTTAAAGAAATTTAATAGGTAGACGGATAAAGAGATTTGTCGATACTGTTTTTTTTTAATTTGATTAAAGATTTGATGAGAAGGATCGAATCTGGTGCATGTTACCTTTTGTATAACGACGTGCAATTGAATCAGTGCTATCTAATCTTCTTATCAGAAAGCTTTTGAATATGGGTCTGTTTTTTTTTGTAATTGAGGAAGTTCGACTTCCTAAAACGTGAAACACTCGCGCGTGTTTGCATGCGCGTCTGCGCAGAAACACAAAGCGAAGATGTATCGTCGACTTTGCGCAGGCGGTCTTTCGAAATGATATTTTTAGAGATGCGAGTCGCTGCCCGCTAGCAATGACGGTAGTCAAGAGTCGTCGTTGACCCTCGAAGCCGAAGCCACGAATTTCACGATTTTCCGATTGATCATTTGGTGAGCGACTTTAAAATTTAAGAATTTTATAAATCGTTATATATTCGATACTTGCCCCGGTTTGACTCATTTCATTTAAATAAAATAAAGTACCGGGTTTTCGATATTAAATATATATAGTAACACTTGTTATTCAATAGTTGAATAGATGATGATCTTATTTATGCAAATCTTTCTAGATGCATTGTCGAGCATGTTGCATGTTGTTTCGTATTATTGTTATAAGCTATAGATAATATATTATTTCATCGCGAATGACTATTTGTTATTCTATAGCGTTGTGTAATTACAACTCTAAGCTAAATGTCTTTCTAATTTTAATTAATAGTTTTTAAAGAGAGCTACTTCGAGAGAATGAGAAAGAGAATCAGGATGCAATCTAGTTCAAACTAGTTTCTAAAAATAAAAGCTGACACAATCCAAACTTTTTCTCGTAGCAAGCCTATATACAGGCGCATATATACATATGTACATCGGTAATTAAATTAAATTTAAATACATATATATATATATAACATCTCATTTTTTTATTGTGTAAAATTATTAAGAATTGTCAGAATTTTATGATAAATTCTAAGCTTTCAAATTTGAAACAATTTTGAAGATATATCTATACACATTTGTATTTATATACTTGCTAGAGAAAAAGCATAACAACATTGCAAATGAGTATTTCTATTGGAATGTTATACTTTTGGCAAGATGAATAATATTGCATGAAATGATATATTAAGAAAATTATTTGTAGGAAAGAGAAAGAAAAAAGCAAAACCTATATATTTATTATTCGGACAATCGGAAAAATTAGATAATGGGAGCGTCAAGTAGTAACAATATACGTTCGACGATGTCGATCTCTACGAGCGAACAGGAAACGGGAGCGTGTTTGTATTCGGAAGACGTTTGCTCTACTCAAGAACAAAGAGCACATCTTACGACGAGCGAGGATCAGCCACGATCGCAGGTACATTGCTCTTGCCAGAGAAATGAGACACTTTATGACAGGCCATTTATTTGAGACTTTGGCACGCAGGGTCCCAGCCCCTACGCGACCTTGAGGACGGGCGAATTATGGGATCAAAGACCAACGGCATCCAATCTATCCAACGTGCTACCACCTAAACGCGAGACCTTGGTGAGAGAGAACGTCGTCTCTTGCTCTTTTCTTTGCTCGTCCACCGTATTGAGTTCTCAGATGAATATATCTGGCGCTGTTTCCATTTAACGATGCTTTATTTATTGAACAAGCGCTGTCGATATTCGTCTGGATTGTTCGTTCTCGTATAATCGTCTGTTCGAGACGCACATTGGATCGCGGTTAAATTAAACTCGGACAATGCCATCGCGCAATTTTCCCGGATAAAAACGCGCAGTTTTGCCGCGCGGAAACCGCGACAAGCTGGCTCCTCTCCAATTCGTGATTTCGGGAGAACACGCTGACTCACGGTCACGAAAAGTCGCTTCCACAGTCATCGATCGCGATCACGTGCTTGGTCGCGGTCGACGATTTCGCGCGACGCAGATTTTATGCCAGTGTGCTATTGTAAATCGTCGAGAGCGGATTACTTCTTACATATTTGGACAGCGCCGGAAGAATCTACAGTATTTCTACGAAAAATTAGTAACCGAGATAATTTCGCGCACATTAAAATTTATTTGGCAAAACTGTGAAGTAAGAGAAAAAAAAAAGAAAAATTCTATTACTTTCTACATTTTCTTTGTTCGAAGTCAGATGATTCATCACGTTCGTGCGCTTGTCATATAGTTAAATTTACAAAATTGTCGTCATAGACATCGTCGTTTATTATACGCAGACACTAACACGGATAATTATAGAGAGATTTAAAAAAATATTTTGATTGCGCAAAAGAGGCCATATATTTGCGAAAATCGATTTATGGATTTTCAAGAGCTTCAAAGAGACTCAGGCTCTGCTATCTTGCTTATTTATATTACAGGTAACGTGCGCCACGCAAATGACAGGTTGGCAACCAGCCGATGGTCAGAATTTCTCGATGTATCAGCAGAATAACGAAATCATGGAGCTTTCGCGAATCATCTCGCAACTTGCCATGGCCAATCATCAATTAGCCAGTGCGCATAACGCGACGCTGGCGCGTATGGAGACATTATATTTAGAGCTGTCGAAGGATAGGCAGGACCGGAAGCAAAAGGTTTCGACGGAGGCCTCGGAAATTCTTCAAAAGAGAGTTCCGGACACCGAAGAAGTAATCGAGAGAAAAGAAACCCGAAGGTTGGAGCAACGCGTCGTTAGATTGGAGAGATTGTTGGCAGCGAGTTCCGCTGAGCAATGCAAACAAAGGGAAGATAGCAAACTACGTTCTAGAATCGAAAGACTGGAGAATCTACCGAAGACACGAGATGCAAAAGATCGATCGAGATCCGGAGAATTGCGTCGCGAATCGTCAGAAGAGATGAGTGAGGCCGTAATGGATGCTGTTAGTGAAGTACTTGAAGATGAGTGTGACAATCAAGGCGTGAAAAAAGAAGTAGTTGATGTTTATAGATATTGTAATGATGCTTCCGATGATTCCGAAATAACTGTTCCTAGGATAGAGGAAAATTCAGATTCCGCGAGCATAGATAAAATGCGCAGAAGTCGCGCAAGATTGAGAAACGACGAGCAAAGTTCGACAACGGAAAATTTAACGAGCGAAGAAATACTTAGATTGTCAGAAGAACTTGAGAGATTAAAAACGGATCGACTGGAGTATCAAAGTGCCAACGAAACACTGCTGTGCAGTTTAGCAGATCAGAAAACCCTGATGGAAAAATTAAATGCAGATTATGAGGTATGATCACATTTGAAGGCATTCTTGATTTCAGAGATTCCGTAAAGAAATCGTAATCTTAATTATTTTTATTTTAATTAAAATATTTTTTTAAATGTTTTAATTAGAATTGTACATTTTTTATTTAGGAATTGAAAGTGCGATATGTAATGGCAGAAGATAATTTACACGAGCACAAACAACAATACGACGGACTGACGAAGCACTTGGATTCCGCTAAAGGGGAAATCGAAAGATTGCTGAAAGAGATCGATATTTTTCAGTCGGAAAAAGACACTGCCGATACAAGAATCTCAATTTTGGAAGAAAATCTGCAGAAATCGCTGCTCGAAAAAGAGCAGATGAAAAGTGTGGAAGATCAAAAGACGTCAAAGTTACGGGCACAACTGTCCGAAGAGGTCTCGGACAAAAAAAAGCAGATTAAGGCTCTTGAAGACGCTTTGCAGGAGATACAAAGACTGAAGGAAACTATCAAGACTGAAAGAAGGAATGAGAACAGCATTGCTTCAAAAGAGGATGTCGTCGGTATGTTTAAATTCACATGGATATACTTGCATTATATATTAAAAATGTGTTATTTTATATTTTCATTATATTTTATTTCATATAAAAAATCATCAATTAATCTACACATAGCGATGATACATAGAAATAATATGTATTTTAAATCACAGAATTATATCGAGAGTTTATATATCGCAGATGCTGTCGACTTGATAGATGACATATTGGAGAGTACGTCGAATTCAGATCGTGCCTCCATCAATATAGAGGAATTTAAAAAAGAATTAACCCTGAAGAGGGAAGCTAGACATAGAGCTATCGCAGCGGTCTCGTCCGAGATGGAGGAACTTAGAAGAGAATTGGCAGCCGAAAAGGAAGCGCATTCCGAAACAATGCTAACTCTTTTGCGTTCTGGTCACGGCGATTTTGATTTCGCCAAGTCTACGGTGAAACAAGAAAGCGAGGACAAGTGTTTGGACGAAAACGAGAAAGTATTGAAACGCGTGGAAGCGCAACGATTAACAAGCACGTTAAAGGTAAAATCATATTCAAGTTTTATTCGCTTTACGATCAAAACCTGGGTATGAATACACGTGTCTATTTTATATAGGTGTCCGACGAGTTGAGAAATGATATACGATGCCAAATCGAGAAAGTGGACGACCTTCGTTACCATTTGGAGAACGATCCAGAGCGTCACCGACATCGTATTCGATGTTTGACGGAAGTGACCAAGAAGGAACGCGAGGCTCTCGTCGTGCGAGAACGTCGGACCAACGAGCTGAAGAATTATTTAGCTCAGGTGTTGGTTAGACTGGGCGACAGGAGTTTTCTGGAAGTTCGCAGTGACGCGGATGCCGAGTGCGATCGACAACTGGAGAATATAATTGTGTTGAAGAGTCTCTACAACGAGAGACTTAGAGTTTTGACCGAGATAAAGGATTCCGCGATCAAGGAATTAGCGGACGTGAAGCCAAAGCTGGAATACTCTCTAAAGAAATCCGAGAACTTGGAGGAGGAACTCAAGAAAGCCGAAGAGAAGGTAACGAGATTTTGTTTGATTCTGCGGATTATTTGTGTTCGAAGTTCTAATGATGGGTCACACATGGCAGGTCGATTCTCAAGATACGGAAATCGCGAACTTGGAATCTCAGTTGGGATTAACGAAAGCGGACTGCAGAGATCTTCAGAATCAGATGAATCTTATCAACGGATTATTTACGCAGATGCTGCTCGGAGCTTCCTCCGCAGATATGGATCTTGATCGATTGACTCAGTTGTTACAGGTATCATTTGCACTTCTGATAATTTATAACGAAAGATCACATTTATACAATATTTTAACATAGTTTGAAAAAAAAGATTTACTTTAAATTTCGCGAAAGAAGATATGATTAAGAAAAGATGGTAATAAAAAGTATGATTTTAAAATTGCAGGAGAATCACGATCTTATAAGTGACATAGCCAGGGAAGAAAGTACCGAAGCAGCGGCCCTTCCTAAACTTCTTTTGGATTTGATCGAGCAAGTCGAGGGTGGTAAAGCGTCCCAAAAACACGCGAGTGACGAAAACAATATAGAAAATATTGGCGAAATTGACAGGAAGGAGGATGACTTGCAAGAAGAAGACATCGCTCATAATTTACCTAAGGTAATAATGATAAAAATTATACATTCGTATAATTATATATTTAATTTCATATTTTTTTCTTAAATTTTTGATTGCTAACTTGGATGTTATATCAAAATCATATTAAAACTACGATTACGCTTGCCAAAGAGTTTAATACATGTGTTGGTTCTGTTAAAATAATTACAAACTTACGTAGGTATGGCGTGTTTTATTGGAGCTACTTAGCTGCCATGCAGTTACCTCTCCGAGCGTTTCCGTTGCATCCTGCTCGGATCCGAACAGCTGTTATAAATCTGTAGACACTCCAGCCGGACCAAGATTAGTGATATCCGTGAGCAAAACATACATTCGTCTAAAGGAATTGATCTTGGAAAAGAAGCATTTAGAGAAGGAGATGAATCGTATGAAGCAGCTGAATACTCACTTGGAGAGTAAACTGGGCGAACAAGTAAGCTACCTGTTTTATTTTACTTACAAATGAGAGGACGAAGATTTATATACATTTTCTCGCTATCTAGGAAAAGAGACTCTCTATGGTGTCGACCGAGCTAGCCAAAACGTGGAATATCGTCGGTCGGATGCAAGTACAGCATCAGCAGTTGCACACGCACGAGGAAATCTTACGTTACGAGCTGCAAGAGAAGAGGAAGATGTTGCAAGAATTGAAACAAGAATTGGAATACTGTAGAGTGAAATGGGAGTCGGCCAGGCAAAAGAATACAAATACCGAATTAGAATGGAGGAGCCTACGTCGCGAATTTGCCGCACGAAAAGCTTTGGCCGCTCACGACTCTTTTAACAGGTTCAAAAAAATTATTTTTATTATACATATATGCACATCAATTACTCTACTTTAACATTTTTGTATTATTACATTTATGACATAATAAATCATTTTGTATCAACATATTAAATATATAAAATTATATATTTGTTTGATTATTTCACGTTTTGAAAATATCCTATAATTTTGAATTATTTTATTTGAATTTTTCTACGCAGTGCTGAAAGCGGCTTCAGTGATGAGAGAGGCGATGATACCGATGAAGAGCAAGAAGCTATTGAAGGAAGAATCAGGCACGGTCCACGCAGACGGACACGAAAAGTACGCGAATATGATTTTCTTAGTTAATAATACAAATTTGCATTTAACAATATTATTTTTATTAACGTAGGAGAGTCCTAGAGCGCCGACACCGGACACAGAATCCGAACAGCCGACGGACACCGAATTATCAGAGTCAAAGACTGGTTCTTCGACGACTTTGGAGCAACGCACACCCACGCCGGAAACCGAAGCGGAATTTGACGAGGCGGAAATCGGGAATGTTGATTCCACAGACTCTGTCGCGGAAGCTAGTGTAAGCAACATTTCAAAAATATTTTTATACTAGAAACTAGAGTGTTATATTACTGATGTTTAATTAATTTCGAACAGCACATCGCGGATAGCACGCAGGAATCTTTGAACCCTTTGGACCAAGCTCTTACTAACGTTATACAAAATCTTATAAAAATCAACGACGGAGAATCAGGCAGGAACGTATCGATTTCACGAGAAGACTCCTCCTGCTCATTCTTTGAAGATCCGTGCGAGAACCTGGCTACTGAATCCGAAACCGCCGACAACACGGAAAACAATGATGCTTTGACAGCTTCGAAAATTAATTCCTGCAACAAAAATCAATCATCCTGGAGACCGACCAGTGAATCTCGGTGTTCATTACCTACGACGCAGATTCTAAAACGAACGGTCACGAGTGTCGACCTTCCTTCGGCGGTGGAGAACGGCGGATCGTCCGAATCACTGACTCTGACCGAATATTCAAAGCCATGCGATGATGAGACAATCAAACTTGAAAATATTCCGTCACCGGCCATTTCTCACGAATCCGCTACCACCAGCACGATGTCTATCTTTTCTATCGGACCCCTTCCCGTATCCACTGTACCATCTTCGTCTATAAAGAGTGTTCAGTTTAGCAACCCTTTAATCGTGGGTCCGTCTAATCGCTTTTTTGCCCCAATGTTTGGTGCGACTGCGGCGGAGTCCAGCAATTTTACGGATAACCTTGCTACGTCTTTGTTGATGACATCATCAAGTCAAGAAGAACTAATAGACAGCAACGTACAGCAATCTCCCAGATTAATAGAAAATATCGCAGATTCCGACAGTATTTCCATAGATTCATCTTCGAGTTTGGACACCGTCAAAGAATTTCCTATGGCCGACCTCGGTTCTACGTCTTCTACATCATTGATATTTAAAGAAGAGCCACAGGAAAGTCCAACATATTCGCAGAAGGAATCTGTGGTCGCATCGACGAAGATCCGAACTCCGGAGGAAGTCTTAGCAACACGAGCCGATCGATTAAAACGTTTGGAGGAGCAAGCGGATTGGCTTGTGAAGAAGATGAACGCTACGAGCAAACGGAGTACTGCTCTTTGCACAAGATTAGAAGAGCTTCACGAGGTTTATGGGGAACCACCTGTTCCTCCACCCATGCCGGACGTTTTACCTAGTCGTAGACTGCCATCTATTCTGCTCAATCTACCTCGTCAGGTAAGAGATTTCATCATTATCTTGTGAATTGAAATGAATTATCATTGGCTTTTTTTATCTCCGATTTATTTCGCAGACTCTCGAATCATCGTCAGATGGTAGTTCCGAGGACATCGAAAATGACTCTGATGCGACAAAAATTGATACATCATCAAATGCAAATACATCATGTTGAGTAATAATTTAGAGAAAATATTATTAATACAATATTTTCGAGAAGGATCTTGTGGTTAATTACCTTTATCGTTCATTCATGGAAATGTAATGGCATATACGAAATGCATATAAAGTGTGTAAACAACATGTATTAATTCGCGATGTAAATATCTTCCCGAATACATTCAATATCATTTGTCATAATATTAATAAAGCGATTTAAAGATTCATATTATTGTTCGAACATATCTTTCAATTTTAATTTTAGTAAAGACTAGACCAACGAAAGCGCGCGCGTATAGACGTATTCCCACATTTTGAAGTCCGCTCTTTTATTTTTTATTATTTTTCGTCATTAAAAGCAATAATTAATTTTTTCCAAATTTTACAGTCTCAGATATATATGTACATTACTCTTAAAAGTTAAACGTAACACGTAACTTATGAGAGTATACATTGGACTAAAACACATGGATATAAGTCGCTGAAATGTCACGATTGCGTTTGTGCAGTTTTCTCACCCAAACATTTCTTTCGTGGAGATATTATTCTATATTTAAAAAAAAGAAACATCTATTGAATTTCTTTCGGTATTATATCGATCGCTTAATGTGCGACTGCACATTAAAGATATAGTGTTAAATTGCGAGTGTGTATTTTGCGCCCTTCGGCAGTAAAGCTGAATGCTGAATTACGAAATTATATAGAACGCTAAAATTGACATTATAGAGAAGGAGAACTTGAGGGTTGGAAAGAAGGGTAATATAATGGGCTGAACATGAATAGTGGGGATACGTACAGAACCTTTGTTGACTTCAGTTCTCTCAGATGTGTTTTAGTGCTAGAAGTGAAATGATCAATGTTTCGGAACATCTCAGTCTGAATCGTATTCTTTTACTCATACTTGGTTTATGGCCTTATAATAAATCTAAATTTGCTCGACTTCAGTTAATCTGTTGTTTCAGTATTCTAATAACCTCCGTTATATTTCAGGTATGTGTCATTTTTTAATTATATAATTTTATATATTTTGTTTGGATTAAAAAATTTTTTAAATTATTAAGTATAATATTTTAATTATTTTTAAATCATATTACTTTATATTTGTAAATTTTCATTATTTTAAAAATTGATATTTCCTTAAAAATATTAATTAATTTACAAATAATTAAATAAGAAAATAATTTTTAATCTAAATTAAAAGTAATTAAAAATAGTAAATTTTAATTTTTATTGATTTTTTACTACAATTTAGACACATTATTAGATATACATAAAATCATAGAAAATTGTGTATGTATTGTATATATATATGTATATATATGTCTACAAATATTTTATAATTACTTGATTAAAACGACTTGATTAAAATTAATAGAGAAAACTAATAATAAGAACTCTTAAAAAATCAATTGAAAGAATGCTCGGAATGTGTGTTATGTGCAATATGCTTTTATACAGTCGTTTGAGATAGTCTTTTATTTCACATGTTAAGTTTTAAAGAAAGATAAATTATAAATAACTTATATTACATATAACATATGTTATGAAGTGACGATAAAATGTTATATATATAATTATATAATTTATTTTTTATTGTTATATATATTAAATAATAATTAAAAATTTATATTATAAAATATAAAGAAGTTTTCTTCTAAAATTTCTTCTACAAATTATTACTTACAGTTAACAATATTTATGACTGCAAAATGTACTGCAGATCTTGTGATTAAAATCTTTTCTTTGACATTTGGTATTATTTGCCTAACGATAACATATAATTCTTTTGTAGTGAAAAATGAAAATGTAAGTAGAAATTTAATTCATTTATTTAAATAACCACACACCTGTGTTTAATACATATATGTTATTCAATAAATTTATACACAACTTTATTTTTTAAAATTTGATTAAGACAAGTAACAAATAAAAATTTAATTGAAACAACAGGTCAAATATTTAATAGAACAGATTAAACAAATCTGTGACGATTTAAAAGACAAAAATGAAATTGCAATCGTAGAAAAATATGGAAGCGATGCAAAACGTTATACGGTACAAATAACAAGTAAGCCAATATTATTGACTGTTGTTACGTTTTGTGATTAAAAGATAGGTGATGTATCTTTACAGTGTAACATCTGCAAGTGATCTTGACTTTGACATAAATATTGTCAAGAAATTATTAATATAAATAATCTTTAAAAGTTTTTTGTTTGTCGCTCGGTATTTATTAAGATATTAGCGAAAAATAAATATTCATGCAAATTGACTTTTTGAATGTGAATTAATAATTTAGAAATTAATAATCAAAAATTTTTGATATTTGATATATAGTTATGTGGTTGGAAAGTATTATTTTTAATACTCTCCAGTAACAGTAAGAATTATAATTCATAATCCTTACTACATATAGAAAAAGATACAAACTTTTATGTGAAATGTTTAAGAATTTAAAAAATTGAGAAATTAATTTGTAATTAGACGCTGCACATGAATTTGCAACTTTCTACATTAAAAGGTCTATTTCATATTGCCCGATGTAGCCCAAGCTAGCTTCGGGACTATATATAATATACTATAGAGTTTATTGTTTATTATTTATTATTAAATAATATTAATGTTTTTTTAAATGTTTGTTGTTTAGTACTTATCGGAAGCTTAGGGTTTATTTTGGCGGGAATTGAATTATGGCCAGATTTTCAAGATTTATTCTTATCGGTGAACAAATCTCGAACACGTCACCTGCTGATTGAAACCGAGTATTTTATCGACCAAGAAAAATATTTCTACTTATTGCTATTTCACATAAATGCATCTTTCTTCATAGGAGTACTTACATTACTAGCAACAGGGACCATGCTCCATGCATATCTTCAATATGCCTGCGGAATGTTTAAAATTGCTAGGTAAGATAAAATAAAGAAACCATATAAAAAACATTTAAAAAACTTTACTCTTATATGTATTTAGATTTCAACTTACAATTAATATTTTCAAACTCAAATACTTAGAAAACTTATTATGCTTATGAAACTAATATAATTTTTACATGCATAATATATGTACTAGCATTTCAAAACAAATATTTGTGTAGCTATATTTTGAGACAAAATTTTGTGTATTGTAAACTAAAGATATATAATAAAAAAGAAAGAGAAAAATATTTTGTTTTTATTTCTACATAAGATAAAATTCATTCTTATAACATTATAATTTTACAATCTTAGTGAAATGTAATGAAATTGAAACGATTTATAAATAATTCACAGTTATCGTATGGAGAGCACAATGAAGATTTATATATCACAAGATTTTAATCTACGGAACAAGAATTTTGTTCAAGAGGGTATAATTTATGCCGTAGACATTCATAGGAAAGCCATGAAGTCCGTATATTTATTATAAAATATTTGAATTGCATAATTAATCGTTTAATTTCTTTTAAAGGTTTTCTGACTATTTAATATCCAGCTTTGAAGTATCATTTATGTTTTTAATAGTATTCGGAGTACTTACTTTGAGCCTCAATATTCTTCGAGTAAGTTTTATTTATGTATGTTTATTACTTGCATGTTATATCTATATTTATAATAAATTGTATAAAATTATTTGCATCACTTAAATTAATTATATGACTCAATATTATTTTATATATTAATGCGTTTGTAAAATCGCATTTTTTCCAATAGCTCTCCGATGATAGCTCTGATTAACGTTGTTTTTCACAATGTTTACTTTATAAATATAATGAGTTACAGTATCAATTAGAAAACAGGAAAGATTTAGATTGCATAATATAATTAACATTGATATATATATATATATATATATATATATATATATATATATATATATATGTTAATAGTACTTAATTTGCATGCAAATTTTTAATTGATTCTACAAGTCGATCACGACGTTAAAATTCGTGTTTTACAGATTACATCATTAAAATTTAATAATGGTGAAATTTTAATACCTTTGATAACACTCGTTTGCTGTTTTTTATACATGTTCTTAACCAATTTCACCGGTCAAGAAATTACAAATCATTATAATTATTTATATGTTGCTGCGTAAGAAATATTTTATGTTATATAAAAATATGTATATTATTGTTACATAAATTGTAAATTAAAAATTAATAAGTAAAACATATATATATACTCTTGAACATAATACTCTTATAAATATATATTTTATTTTTCTTAAATTATTATTTCTATATAAGATTATTCTATTTATTAGGTACAATGCTCAGTGGTACATGGTTTCTTTACATATACAAAGGCTTATATTGTTACTGTTGCAAAGAAGTAATAAGTCATTTGGTTTGAATATTGGTGGAATGTATGTCGCATCTATAAAATTTTTTGCTACGGTATAATTTATATATTTTAATATATTAAATCCTCTTATACTTTACAAAAAAAAAAAAAAAAAGAATCAAAAGTAGATGTAATAAATGTACTTTGCAGCTGATGAACACATCCATGTCTTACTTTACGGTTTTATATTCAATGCAGCAATGAGAAAAAAAAGTATTATAATATAGATATGGTTCAGCAATTATATATTTTTAATATTAGACATATCAAATAATGTAAACTAGTATAATGTTTTCGTCAATAAAAATCATTGTAGTTTATTTTATATATAAGAGAATAAAGAACATATATGTGCGTGACATAAAAAAATTTGCAATATATTATGCAACAAACACATACATTATATGCCATAAAATAATTGATAATAAAATAAATATGAACTCTCTTTACATATATACAGAAAAATTATATTGTCATTAAAACATAATACTTCGTAGGCAATATTTTTACAATTAATGTTACAGTTTCACTCACTTTTATTCTTATAGCAGGAATGCTTATAGTTCACAAATGTATACACACTATATATTTAAATAGATGGATATACACCGTTGAAAAACCAGCAAATATATGCTTACGCCACTTTCACACCCCATATACTTTCCCCCGAATGTTATTCTATGACTCTATGAGAAAAGAACATATGTTCAATTTCTTTCGGCGTTAAATCGATCGCTTAATCGACAGCTGCACTTCGACGTAATAATATTAAATTACAGGTGTTCCGCTCTCACAGTGGTATTCCGTGTTTTTTTTTCACATTGCACTTGGTACAATTATGGTAATTTCTTTTTGCCGTTCTTATTGTATGCGTTTTTTATTTACAATTACGGCAGACCTTACGAAAATTAACTTATATTGCAGTATAAAAAAATTATGCTAGAAAAAAAGAGCTGAGGGAATATTTAATCAGCTACTTGGTGATGGTGGGAATAAACAAAGGTCCGTCAACTTCATCGTCGTTAAATGCGTTTTAGTATACTGTATAGCAAAGAGATGATCAGCGTTGAAGATCAGTATTTCAGTCTTAACCGAACTCTGCTGTTGGCTATTGGTTTATGGCCTTATCAAAAATCGATGCTTGCTCGATTTCAGTCAATCTGTTTCTTCACAATTCAAGCAACCTTTATTATATCTCAAGTATGTATGTAGCAAAATATATATATATATATTTAGATTAAATGCATTATATACAGAATTTTGAAATCCAATTCAGCTACTTTATATCTGAAAATTTTACCATCAATTTGTATACTTTCTTAAAAATTATGAATTGATATTATAAAGCGATTGAATGTGAAAGATACTTATATAACTTCAAAAAAATATAGCTAAATAATAAAACGTTCTTTATTTATTTTCATTTCATTTTAGATTTATAATTTAAAGAGTCAATACACAAATATTTATTGTTAAAATTTGATACAACTTATAATCAGTGATAATATTTGTCAATTTCTTCTAATGAAAAATCGATAGAAAATATTGTGGCTTATTCTGTATATGTATAATACATTTTATCGTAATTTATCAATATATTTATAATGTATATTTTATAATTATAATATATTTATAAACTTATAATAATCTCTCTACTGTTATATAACTTGTGTTAAATATTTCATTAAAAAAGCAAAAATATATATATATATATATATATATATATATATATATAAATGCTAACCATTTCTTCCTGAAACTCACTGTATATAAATATTTTTATTTTTTATTTTGTTTAATCTAACCGAATATAATTACGTGCGCGAAGAGAAGTTATATTATTCTTTGATAATAAAATCTCAAAAATTACAACGCATGCATAAAAATGATTGTTGCGACTCATGTATAAAAATATATTAATTAATTACGCAATGCATAAAAATTCAATATTTAAATCTTTAAATCTTTAAGAGAACAAAAAATCTACAACAATCTTTCGATCAAAATATCCACGCTTCCATTAGATTCGCGTCTGCAGAATGGCGCTGCATGGTTCGCGCGAGACCGATCACGTGATCGTCAGTCTCGCAATCGCAATATCTCGAACGAGAATCAGTCTCGCGCGAGACGCGCAGCGTGATGGATGTGTGGGGTGTACTAATCTGATGGAAATAATAGAGAAAGAAAGATGTTGTCGTGAGGTCAGTGGGTCAGTCTGTCAATCTTACGCAAAATGTGCAACGGTGAGTGTGTATAGACGCGCAAGTCTAATAAAAAAAAGTGTAGATATTTTGTTAGAAAGATTCTTGTAAAAAATTTTACTTTTAAATTAATACAATTGTCGCTCGTATATTGAAAACAAAGTGATAAATATAAGGCCAACTTATCGAGCTGAATATTCGAGATGTTCAGTCAACTATCATTTATTACATGTATAAATTATAAAACTACAGTCATTATATTAAAACTAACGCCAATTACAATCATTCTATAAACGTTTCGACCGCACGCGGTCTTCTTCAGTATAATTATTGAAATATAAATTCTTACAATTCACATAATATCGAAATTTAATTATAGTTATTCAGAATCAAGAGTTTTTGAGCAATTAACGCGTGTTTCAATCCGTCCTGTCCAACAATGTTCGCCTCGATATGATCCCTGATTTTGTTCAGATCTCGGATAGTTTTCGTTAATATGCGAGAAATTAACCCGTTCCGTAGGCGCTGCGATTAATAAAAAATTACCGATCAACGTATGTCCATATTATAATATGTATCCCCTATAATTGGTAGTATGCTTACCTATCATCGTTCTTCTTGACAATTTTGCTACTTATTAACAGTTATTAAGGATGACACATAACAAACCAACAATACAGAAAGACAGCTCATTTTAAACTCTACTTGATCGGAGAGCGTGCGTGTTTATATATGATCTAATATCTATGTTTTACTCGTTAATGTCCTATTTGTCCTATTATTATTTATTGTTCGCTAATATATCCAAAATATCAAAATACGACTCGCTAAGTAACTCAGTATCTTTGTTTAAATTTAGTCCATTTTTTTGTTCCTTGATATGTAGCATCTCAGAAATGAGTCTTTTATAATAATTATTTTCGTTGTCCATGATCTTAACATTGTCCCAATTAAAAGTATGATGTTCATTTATTATGTGTTCAGTAATAAATTTACAATAGTTCTCTATAATGACATAAAACTTAGAATCTGCTAATCAAGAATAAGATATTTTATTTTAAAGAAATTATTACTTACAGCTTACAATATTTTTAACTTCAAAGTATACTATTGATATTGTTATTAAGATTCTATCTCCTGCAATGGCCTGCGTTAGCTCCACATTAACATACAATTCATTTTATGTTAATGGCGAAACAGTAAGTCAAACATCTATTATATTTATAAACATTCATGATAAAAAAACATTATATTTAAAAACTCATACTTAGCATTCTTTTTTATATTTTACGAAAAGATAAATGAAATAACAACTTGTTGTAATAATAGATAATGTATTTAATGGAACAACTTCAGCATATCTATGAACACATAAAAGACAAAAATGAATTAGTCATCATCGAAAGATATGGGAACAATGCGAAACATTATACGATTGCATTCCTAAGTGAGAAAATATTCTCTAATTTCTATTATGTTTCGTATTTTAAGTGTATTCATGAGCTATTATTTGAAGCCTTTATATAAATTAAAACTATTTAGTATCACATAAAACATCGTAAAACACTTAAATTAAAATACACGAATTTATTGTTATATTATTAACATATTACTTGTTTGTATTGTTTAGCACTTTTTTTTGTCATACTACCCATTTATCTATCTGCCCACATCTGGCCTGGTTTTTTCGACATTATTTTATTGACAATATTAAACAAACCTCAATTACGGCATCTGCAGATTACGACTAACTATTCTGTAAATCAAGAACAATATTTATATATACGACAACTGCATATGGTTGTTGCTCTTTTTATAGGAATTGTTGCAATGATAGCAACTGGAGCAATGCTCATTACTTATATTCAACATGCCTGTGGAATGTTTAAAATTGCCAGGTAAACCAAATTACATACGTAATAATTAAAATATTAAAATTAAAAACAATTCTATTTTTGTCTTATGCACTTCCAAAAAATGTTGTAAAAATAAGCAAGTATATAAAATAAAGCTGAATAATTTACTTATTAAATAAATAAATCATCTCATATACAAGGTATTCAAAATCTATTTGTTTAAAATTACGGATTGTTTGAGCAATTTAAAATATATCCAATTTACTTATATTATTATTATTATCTGATATTATAAATGTTGTAGTCTTACTTTTTTATTTAATTGCATATTATATGAATTTATAAAGATTACAATCATTCTCAAAGCTAATTTAGTCAATTTTTCATAGCTACCGTATCAAAAACGTAATGCAGATTCATATATTGCAAGATGTTAATTTAAAAAAAAGAGTTTAATTCATAAGAATATAATTTGTGCTGTAGATATTCATCGTAAGGCTATGAAGTTGGTACCCTTATTTTGTAATATATAAATTCATATATGTATAGTATATAAAGGCAACAATATACTTTCTCATTTTTATAGGTTTTCGAATCATTTAATATCCAAATTGGAGATGTCATTTCTTTTATTAATAATATTCGGAGTGATTACTTTGAGTTGCAATATATTTCAAGTAAGTTTTATATTTCGTTTTTATAAATACATATTCAAACAAGATTTACATTATGTGTTATATTAAACATACTTGATTATTTTTTGTTTAACAGCTTTGCTCAAATTATTTTTTATTCAACTTATTCAAATTTAATAATTATTCAAATTATTATTAATTATTTAAATTATTATTATAAATATAAAAATGTTTATTAATATATTACAATATTGAAACTCGTAATGTTTATGTATGTGTATTAGATATTTCAGGTTACATCAGAATATAATTGTGACCAGTTTCTAGGATCTGTTATAATCGTATTCGTTGCTTTTGCATACATGTTCATATCTAATTTTATCGGACAAGAAATTATAGATTATAATAATGACGTATATGCCGCTGCGTAAGAAATATATCTTTATATTATATAATTTTATTATTTTTATGTACACTGAAAAACAATGATTAAATTAATAAATATGTATCTATTTCAATACATATCATTATTATTTATTTGAAACAAATATTTATCTATTTTGAAAAAAATTTTTCTTTATATCAAAAAAATATTTTTTCATTTTACATCAAACCAAGATTATTAGTAGTATTAAAATAAATAAATATTTATTGGAATTCAATAATTTTTTTCAATGTATGTATATATAAGCATTAATGACAAAAGTAAAAATTAAAATATATAATTAAAGTGGATAAAACAAATATATATATATATATATATATATGTATATGTATATTGTGTATCATTAGATTTTTCATTTTTTTGTTTTTCTCGAAAAAATTACTGACCTATTATCATTACATGATAGATATAATGTTTGCTGGTATACAGCTCCTCTACATATACAAAAGATAATACTATTTTTATTGCAAAGAGGTAACAAACCTTTCGGGCTGAACGTCGCTGGATTGTTTATAGCATCCTTAGAATGCTTTGCAACGGTACAAAACATTTCAAATATACCATAATATTACATTAATATTATGAACATGTCACATTCTGAAAAGACGAAATAAATGCAGATATGTTTTCTTATTTACAGCTAGTGAAGGCATCCGTATCTTACTTTACCGTTATGTATTCAGTATAATTATATAAAGGAAAAGACAATTCAAAAAACAATATTAATTGATACCTTTGTTAGTGTAAAATTATTGAAAAACATTATACACCTTATGTTCAACATTATACACCTTATGTTCAAACTAAGAAAATGATAAAAAATGCATAAATTAAAAATTAGTAGAAGTTTATAGTAGCAACTTTTTATAAATGTGTGTGTGTTAAAAAATTAATTAATTTAACCATTCATAGTTGAATTGTTCATTAATTCATGTTTATAAAATGTTTATGTAATGAAAAACATTAAAGAATAAGCATTTATGATTTTGTTTAATATTTAGCATAACTCTTTTTTTATTTTAATTAATATTAATCTGTACTTCTTTCTTTCTCATTCTATTAGCGATTTTGAAGCTTGAACGCATACTATTTGATCAATAATTTTTCAAAAATAGTAAAAATTTTCTGAGAAATATGGTTTCCTTAACTTAATTTATTATTTTATTTAATATTAAAATAATATCTTTATTTATTTTTGTATTTTTAAGATATAAATTCAATTTTAATTTTATCTTTTAGAAAGAAAGAAAGAGAGAGAGAACATCAAAGAAATATACTAATAAATAAAAAAAGTATTGTTTATAAAGCAAAATAATATTTTTGAAAAAAATAATACTTCACTGACAATAATTTTGCAATAATGTTACAATTGTAAAATGTACTCACCATGAAAGATGAAGTGTAACTTACGAGTGTCACATTTGGATTGAAGCACACGGATATATTCAGCTGAGAAATGACGACTACGCTTGCGCAACTTTCGCACCCCAGAACTTTTCTCGCAAATGTTGTTATATGAGAAATAAAACACCTGTCTAATTTCTTTCAGCATTAAATCGATTACTTAATAGGCGGATGCATTTTGGCGACGCGGTGTTAAATTGTGCAAATATATATATTATGCTCTGACAGTTATTTTGTTGTATGCGGTGCAGGACGCAATTGCTGTTTGAATTACAACAGTTAAGCTGTAGAATATTTTCACCCTACATTTATTTTTTCTCCACACTAGAAAAAAGAAGTGAGAGAGAGTTATTTAAATGAGTGTAACATTGAATTAGAATAGAAAGTTCCATCGATAAAAATTCTGGCAAATGCGGGTTGATACTAGCAGAGAGATGATCCGTATTGAAGATCGGTATTTTAGTCTTAATCGTGTTCTTTTGCAACTGGTTGGCCTATGGCCTTATCAAAAATCAAAATTTGTTCGACTTCAGTTGATTTGCTTCTTTATCATCCAGATAACTTTTATTATGGCTCAGGTACATACATACCATATACACACGTATACTTCGATGTTTTGTAATATTAGTTGTATTATATAATATATATATATATATATATATAGAATATATACTACAATTTAGACACATTAATTAGATATACATAAAATCATAGAAAATTGTGTATGTATTGTATATATATATATATATATATATATATATATATATGTATATATGTCTACAAATATTTTATAATTACTTGATTAAAACGACTTGATTAAAATTAATAGAAAAAACTAATAATAAGAACTCTTAAAAAATCAATTGAAAGAATGCTCGGAATGTGTGTTATGTGCAATATGTTTTTATACAGTCGTTTGAGATAGTCTTTTATTTCACATGTTAAGTTTTAAAGAAAGATAAATTATAAATAACTTATATTACATATAACAAATGTTATGAAGTGACGATAAAAAGTTATATATATAATTATATAATTCATTTTTTATTGTTATATATATTAAATAATAATTAAAAATTTATATTATAAAATATAAAAAAGTTTTCTTCTAAAACTTCTTCTACAAATTATTATTTACAGTTAACAATATTTATGACTGCAAAATGTACTGCAGATCTTGTGATTAAAATCTTTTCTTTGACATTTGGTATCATTTGCCTAACGATAACATATAATTCTTTTGTAGTGAATAGTGAAAATGTAAGTAGAAGTTTAATTCATTTATTTGAATAAGCATACATCTGTGTTCAATACATATATGTTATTTAATAAATTATACACAACTTTATTTTTTAAAATTTGATTAAGACAAGTAACAAATAAAAATTTAATTAAAACAACAGGTCAAATATTTAATAGAACAGGTTGAACAAATTTGTGATGATTTAAAAGACAAAAATGAAATTGCAATCGTAGAAAAATATATAGAAGCAATGCAAAACGTTATACGGCACAAATAACAAGTAGGCCAATATTATTGACTGTTGTTACGTTTTGTGATTAAAAGATAGGTGATGTATCTTTACAGTGCAACATCTGCAAATGATCTTGACTTTGACATAAATAGTCAAAAAATATTAATTTAAATAATCTTTAAAAGTTTTTTGTTTGTTGCACGGTATTTATTAAAAAATTAGCGAAAAATAAATAATCATGAATTGACTTTTTGAATGTAAATTAATAATTTAGAAATTAATAATAAAAAATTTTTGATATTTGATATATAGTTCATGTGGTTGGAGAATATTATTTTTAATACTCTCTAGTAACAGTAAGAATTATAATTCATAATCCTTATTACATATAGAAAAAGATACAAACTTTTATGTGAAATGTTTAAGAATTTAAAAAATTGAGAAATTAATTTGTAATTAAACACTGCACATGAATTTGCAACTTTCTACATTAAAAGGTCTATTCCATATTGCCCGATGTAGCCCTAGCTTCGGACTATATATAATATACTATAGAGTTTATTGTTTATTATTTATTATTAAATAATATTAATGTTTTTTTAAATGTTTGTTGTTTAGTACTTAGCGGAAGCGTTGGGTTTATTTTGGCGGGAATTGAATTATGGCCAGATTTTCAAGATTTATTCTTTTCAGTAAACAAATCTCGAACACGTCACCTGCTGATTGAAACCGAGTATTTTATCGATCAAGAAAAATATTTCTACTTATTGCTATTTCACATAAATGCATCTTTCTTCATAGGAGTACTTACATTACTAGCAACAGGGACCATGCTCCATGCATATCTTCAATATGCCTGCGGAATGTTTAAAATTGCTAGGTAAGATAAAATAAAGAAACCATATAAAAAACATTTAAAAAACTTTACTCTTATATGTATTTAGATTTCAACTTACAATTAATATTTCCAAACTCAAATACTTAGAAAACTTATTATGGTTATAAAACTAATATAATTTTTACTTGCATAATATATGTACTAGCATTTCAAGATAAATATTTGTGTAGCTATATTTTGGGACAAAATTTTGTGTATTATAAACTAAAAATTTATAATAAAAGAGAAAGAGAAAAATATTTCGTTTTTATTTCTACATAAGATAAAATTCATTCTTATAACATTATAAATTTTACAATCTTAGTGAAATGTAATGAAATTGAAACGATTTATAAATAATTCACAGTTATCGTATGGAGAACACAATGAAGATTTATATATCACAAGATTTTAATCTGCGGAACAAGAATTTTGTTCAAGAGGGTATAATTTATGCCGTAGACATTCATAGGAAAGCCATGAAGTCCGTATATTTATTATAAAATATTTGAATTGCATAATTAATCGTTTAATTTCTTTTAAAGGTTTTCTGACTATTTAATATCCAGCTTTGAAGTATCATTTATGTTTTTAATAGTGTTCGGAGTACTTACTTTGAGCCTCAATATTCTTCGAGTAGGTTTTATTTATGTATGTTTATTACTTGCATGTTATATCTATCTTTAATAAATTGTATAATATTATTTGCATCACTTAAATTAATTATATGACTCAATATTATTTTATATATTAATGCGTTTGTAAAATCGCATTTTTTCCAATAGCTCTCCGATGATAGCTCTGATTAACGTTGTTTTTCACAATGTTTATGAATATAATGAGTTACAGTATCAATTAGAAAACAGGAAAGATTTAGATTGCATAATATATAATTAACATTGATATATATATATATATATATATATATATTTATATATACATATATATATGTTAATAGTACTTAATTTGCATGCAAATTTTTAATTGATTCTACAAGTCGATCACGACGTTAAAATTTGTGTTTTACAGATTACATCATTAAAATTTAATAATGGTGAAATTATAATACCTTTGATAGCATTCGTTTCCTGTTTTTTATACATGTTCTTAACCAATTTTACCGGGCAAGAAATTACAAATCATTACAATTATTTATTTGTTGCTGCGTAAGAAATATTTTCATGTTATATAAAAATATGTATATTATTGTTATATGAATTAAAAATTAAAAATTAATAAGTAAAACATATATATACTCTTGAAAATAATACTCTTATAAATATATAATATTATTTTTCTTAAATTATTATTTCTATATAAGATTATTCTATTTATTAGGTACAATGCTCAGTGGTACATGGTTTCTTTACATATACAAAGGCTTATATTGTTACTGTTGCAAAGAAGTAATAAGTCATTTGGTTTAAATATTGGTGGAATGTATGTCGCATCTATAAAATTTTTTGCTACGGTATAATTTATATATTTTAATATATTAAATCCTCTTATACTTTACACAAAAAGAAAAAAAAACAAAAGTAGATGTAATAAATGTACTTTGCAGCTGATGAACACATCCATGTCTTACTTTACGGTTTTATATTCAATGCAGCAATGAGAAAAAAAAGTATTATAATATAGATATGGTTCAGCAATTATATATTTTAATATTAGACATATCAAATAATGTAAACTAGTATAATGTTTTCGTCAATAAAAAATCGTTGTAGTTTATTTTATATATAAGAGAATAAAGAACATATATGTACGTGACATAAAAAAATTCGCAATATATTATGCAACAAACACATACATTATATAAAATAAATGATAATATATAAAATAAATATGAACTCTCTTTACATATATACAGAAAAATTATATTGTCATTAAAACATAATACTTTGTAGGCAATATTTTTACAATTAATGTTACAGTTCCACTCACTTTTATTCTTATAGCAGGAATGCTTATAGTTCACAAATGTATACACACTATATATTTAAATAGATGGATATACACCGTTGAAAAACCAGCAAATGCTTACGCCACTTTCACACCCCATATACTTTCCCCCGAATATTATTCTATGACTCTATGAGAAAAGAACATATGTTCAATTTCTTTCGGCGTTAAATCGATCGCTTAATCGACAGCTGCACTTCGACGTAATAATATTAAATTACAGGTGTTCCGCTCTCACAGTGGTATTCCGTGTTTTTTTTTTCACATTGCACTTGGTACAATTACGGTAATTTCTTTTTGCCGTTCTTATTGTATGCGTTTTTTATTTACAATTACGGGCAGACCTTACGAAAATTAACTTATATTGCAGTAAAAAAAAATTATGCTAGAAAAAAAGAGCTGAGGGAATATTTAATCAGCCACTTGGTGATGGTGGGAATAAACAAAGGTCCGTCAACTTCATCGCCGTTAAATGCGTTTTAGTATACTGTATAGCAAAGAGATGATCAGCGTTGAAGATCAGTATTTCAGTCTTAACCGAACTCTGCTGTTGGCTATTGGTTTATGGCCTTATCAAAAATCGACGCTTGCTCGATTTCAGTCAATCTGTTTCTTCACAATTGAAGCAACCTTTATTATATCTCAAGTATGTATGTAGCAAAATATATATATATATATATATATATATATATTTAGATTAAATGCATTATATACAGAATTTTGAAATCCAATTCAGCTACTTTATATCTGAAAATTTTACCATCAATTTGTATACTTTCTTAAAAATATGAATTGATATTATAAAGCGATTGAATGTGAAAGATACTTATACAACTTCAAAAAAATATAGCTAAATAATAAAAGTTCTTTATTTATTTTCATTTCATTTTAAATTTATAATTTAAAAGAGTCAATACACAAATATTTATTGTTAAAATTTGATACAACTTATAATCAGTGATAATATTTGTCAATTTCTTCTAATAAAAAATCGATAGAAAATATTGTGGCTTATTCTGTATATGTATAATACATTTTATCGTAATTTATCATTATATTTATAATTTATATTTTATAATTATAATATATTTATAAACTTATAATAATCTCTCTACTGTTATATAACTTGTGTTAAATATTTCATTAAAAAAGCAAAATTATATATATATATACATATATATAAATGCTAACCATTTCTTCCTGAAACTCACTGTATATAAATATTTTTATTTTCTCATTTTGTTTAATCTAACCGAATATAATTACGTGCGCGAAGAGAAGTTATATTATTCTTTGATAATAAAATCTCAAAAATTACAACGCATGCATAAAAATGATTGTTGCGACTCATAAATAAAAATATATTACGTAATTACGCAATGCATAAAAATTCAATATTTAAATCTTTAAATCTTTAACAGAACAAAAAATCTACAACACTCTTTCGATCAAAATATCCACGTTTCCATTAGATTCGCGTCTGCAGAATGGCGCTGCATTGTTCGCGCGAGACCGATCACGTGATCGTCAGTCTCGCAATCGCAATATCTCGAACGAGAATCAGTCTCGCGCGAGACGCGCAGCGTGATGGACGTGTGGGGTGTACTAATCTGATGGAAATAATAGAGAAAAAAAGATGTCGTCGTGAGGTCAGTGGGTCAGTCTGTTAATCTTGCGCGACATGTGCAACGGTGAGTGTGTATAGACGCGTAAGTCTAATAAAAAAAAGTGTAGATATTTTGATCGAAAGATTTTTGTAAAATATTTTACTTTTGTTTTTTTGCATTCTCTGTTAAAAATTTAAAAATTGAATTTTTATACATTGCATAATATAATTAATATATTTTTATGTAGACATTGTGTAATAATAGATAATGTGTTGCAATTTTTGAGATTTATTATCAAAAAATAAAACTTCGCTTTACGCGCTTAATTATAATTCGGTAAGATTAAACGAAATGATAAAATAAAATATTTATATTCAATATGTATGTATATATGATATATATTTATCTTTTATAAAAAATTATTTTATTAACTATATATAAAATTAATTTATTATATTGTTATGATAAATTAGTTCTCTATAATGACATAAAACTTAGAATCTGCTAATCAAGAATAAAGATATTTTATTTTAAAGAAATTATTACTTACAGCTTACAATATTTTTAACTTCAAAGTATACTATTGATATTGTTATTAAGATTCTATCTTCTGCAATGGCCTGCGTTAGCTTCACATTAACATACAATTCATTTTATGTTAATGGCGAAACAGTAAGTCAAACATCTATTATATTTATAAACATTCATGATAAATAAACATTTTATTTAAAAACTCATACTTAGCATTCTTTTTTATATTTTACGAAAAGATAAATGAAATAACAACTTGTTGAAATAATAGATAATGTATTTAATGGAACAACTTCAGCATATCTATGAACACATAAAAGACAAAAATGAATTAGTCATCATCGAAAGATATGAAAACAATGCGAAACATTATACGATTGGATTCCTAAGTGAGAAAATATTCTCTAATTTCTATTATGTTTCGTATTTTAAGTGTATTCATGAGCTATTATTTGAAGCCTTTATATAAATTAAAACTATTTAGTATCACATAAAACATCGTAAAACACTTAAATTAAAATACACGAATTTATTGTTATATTATTAACATATTACTTGTTTGTATTGTTTAGCACTTTTTTTTGTCATACTACCCATTTATCTATCTGCCCACATCTGGCCTGGTTTTTTCGACATTATTTTATTGACAATATTAAACAAACCTCAATTACGACATCTGCAGATTACGACTAACTATTCTGTAAATCAAAAACAATATTTATATATACGACAACTGCATATGGTTGTTGCTATTTTAATAGGGATTGTTGCAGTGATAGCAACTGGAGCAATGCTCATTACTTATATTCAACATGCCTGTGGAATGTTTAAAATTGCCAGGTAAACCAAATTACATACGTAATAATTAAAATATTAAAATTAAAAACAGTTCTATTTTTGCCTTATGCACTTCCAAAAAATGTTGTGAAAATAAGCAAGTATATAAAATAAAGCTGAATAATTTACTTATTAAATAATTGAATCATCTCATATACAAGGTATTCAAAATCTATTTGTTTAAAATTACGAGTTGTTTGAGCGATTTAAAATATCCAATTTACTTATATTATTATTATTATCTGATATTATAAATGTTGTAGTCTTACTTTTTTATTTAATTGCATATTATATGAATTTATAAAGATTACAATCATTCTCAAGGCTAATTTAATAAATTTTTCATAGTTACCGTGTCAAAAACGTAATGCAGATTCATATATTGCAAGATGTTAATTTAAAAAAAGAGAGTTTAATTCATAAGAATATAATTTGTGCTGTAGATATTCATCGTAAGGCTATGAAGTTGGTACCCTTATTTCGTAATATATAAATTCATATATGTATAGTATATAAAGGCAACAATATATATTTTCTCATTTTTATAGATTTTCGAATCATTTTATATCCAAATTTGAGATGTCATTTCTTTTATTAATAATATTCGGAGTGATTACTTTGAGTTGCAATATATTTCAAGTAAGTTTTATATTTCGTTTTTATAAATACATATTCAAACAAGATTTACATTATGTGTTATATTAAACATACTTGATTATTTTTGTTTAACAGCTTTGCTCAAATTATTTTTTATTCAACTTATTTAAATTTAATAATTATTCAAATTATTATTAATTATTTTAAATTATTATAAATTATTTATATAAATATAAAAATGTTTATTAATATATTACAATATTGAAACTCGTAATGTTTATGTATGTGTATTAGATATTTCAGGTTACATCAGAATATAATGCTGACCAGTTTATATTATCTGTTATAATTGTACTCGTTGTTTTTGCATACATGTTCATATCTAATTTTATCGGACAAAAAATTATAGATCATAATAATGACGTATATGCCGCTGCGTAAGAAATATATCTTCATATTATATAATTTTATTATTTTTATGTACACTGAAAAACAATTATTAAATTAATAAATATGTATCTATTTCCATACATATCATTATTTATTTGAAACAAATATTTATCTATTTTGAAAAAAATTTTTCTTTATATCAAAAAAATATTTTTTATTTTACATCAAACCAAGATTATTAATAGTATTAAAATAAATAAATATTTATTTGAATTCAATAATTTTTTTTAATGTATGTATATATAAGCATTAATGACAAAAGTAAAAATTAAAATGTATAATTAAAATGGATAAAACAAATATATATATATATATATATATATATATATATATATATATATGTATATTGTGTATCATTAGATTTTTCATTTTTTTGTAATTCTCGAAAAAATTACTGACCTATTATCATTACATGATAGATATAATGTTTGCTGGTATACAGCTCCTCTACATATACAAAAGATAATACTATTTTTATTGCAAAGAAGTAACAAACCTTTCGGGCTGAACGTCGCTGGATTGTTTATAGCATCCTTAGAATGCTTTGCAACGGTACAAAACATTTCAAATATACCATAATATTACATTAATATTATGAACATGTCACATTCTGAAAAGACGAAATAAATGCAGATATGTTTTCTTATTTACAGCTAGTGAAGGCATCCGTATCTTACTTTACCGTTATGTATTCAGTATAATTATAAAAAGCAAAAGACAATTCAAAAAGCAATATTAATTGATACCTTTGTTGATGTAAAATTATTGAAAAACATTATACACCTTATGTTCAACATTATACACCTTATGTTCAAACAAAGAAGATGATAAAAAATGCATAAATTAACAATTAATAAAATTTTATAATAGCAACTTTTTTATAAATGTGTGTGTGTTAAAAAATTAATTAATTTAATAACCATTTATAGTTGAACTGTTCATTAATTCATGTTTATAAAATGTTTATGTAATGAAAAACATTAAAGAATAAGCATTTATGATTTTGTTTAATATTTAGCATAACTCTTTTTTTTATTTTAATTAATATTAATCTGTACTTCTTTCTTTCTCATTCTATTAGCGATTTTGAAGCTTGAACGCATACTATTTGATCAATAATTTTTCAAAAATAGTAAAAATTTTCTGAGAAATATGGTTTCCTTAACTTAATTTATTATTTTATTTAATATTAAAATAATATCTTTATATTTTTGTATTTTTAAGATATAAATTCAATTTAATTTTATCTTTTAGAAAGAAAGAAAGAGAGAGAGAACATCAAAGAAATATACTAATAAATAAAAAAAGTATTGTTTATAAAGCAAAATAATATTTTTGAAAAAAATAATACTTCACTGACAATAATTTTGCAATAATGTTACAATTGTAAAATGTACTCACCATGAAAGATGAAGTGTAACTTACGAGTGTCACATTTGAACTGAAGCACACGAATATGTTCAGCTGAGAAATGACGACTACGCTTGCGCAACTTTCGCACCCCAGAACTTTTCTCGCAAATGTTGTTATATGAGAAATAAAACACCTGTCTAATTTCTTCTAGCATTAAATCGATTACTTAATAGGCAGATGCATTTTGGCGACGCGGTGTTAAATTGTGCAAATATATATATTATGCTCTGACAGTTATTTTGTTGTATGCGGTGCAGGACGCAATTGCTGTTTGAATTACAACAGTTAAGCTGTAGAATATTTTCACCCTACATTTATTTTTTCTCCACACTAGAAAAGAGAAGTGAGAGAGAGTTATTTAAATGAGTGTAACATTGAATTAGAATAAGAAGTTCCATCGATAAAAATTCTGGCAAATGCGGGTTGATACTAGCAGAGAGATGATCCGTATTGAAGATCGGTATTTTAGTCTTAATCGTGTTCTTTTGCAACTGGTTGGCCTATGGCCTTATCAAAAATCAAAATTTGTTCGACTTCAGTTGATTTGCTTCTTTATCATCCAGATAACTTTTATTATGGCTCAGGTACATACATATACACACGTATACTTCGATGTTTCGTAATATTAGTTGTATTATATAATATATATATATATATATATATATATATATATATATATATACATAAGATATATTATTCCAAAAGATTTATTGAATACGTTTTATATACTTGTTATGTGGTTTTTAAACAAATTCGAATCGAGCGCTTAAGGAAAATTATAAATAATTATGCATATATAAAAGTGATTTTCTCTGTCCAACTTTGAAAGAAGTACAAGAAATAATAATTTTATTCTTTATTTCTTTTTAATTAAATTTTCCTTGCTTCATAAAAAATGAATGAATCAAGTTTAGAAATATATATTATATAAATATAGAAATATTTTAAAATCGAAACTTGCGATAAACGGTTATTTTATTCTCTTTTGCTAGGAAAGAATCGATTGAAAAATGACTTGCTATATGTGTCACATACACCTTATTGTGTGTCATATGCTATATATTGTATATTCACTTTGTGTGTCATGTGCTGTCACTATACGTGTGTATATTTTTAAAAATATATACACACATTATCGTATTTTCTTTTTTTCTTTAAAAACGTTATAAGTATAAAACATAACTGTATTTTCTTATTAAAAATAACTTAAATAAATTTAACTTTATATATATATATATATAACATTTTTGTTCCATTTTTTACACTTTTTAAATTGATTAATAAATTTGCTATTAACAAAAAAATTATTGTAATTTTTTAAAGCACTGAATGTTAGCGCGTAAATTATTTAAATGTATTAAAGTTATAGAAATAAATACTCATCAATCTAAAATATAATAAATAAATAAAGTAACTCTTATTCTTTAATAAGTGTGTAAAGCGTGTATATATACACTTATTTTTTCTAAAAAAGTTATGTTATTATACAAATTATGTTATTATAATTATTCATTATATATTATACATTTAAATAAATTATTATAGTTAAAATGGAAAACTACTTTATGCTAATAAAAAAGAGATGTTTTAATTTCTCTAGAAAGAAATTATAATTTACAGCTTGCAACATTTCTAACTTCAAAATGTACCACATATTTCATCATTAAAGTGTTATCTGTAGCATGTGGTTTTATTGCCATAATAATAAAATATAATTTGTTTTGCATTAATGCTAAAATTGTAAGTTGCATTATCTATTTGCATTCATTTGAATATGAATTTTCAGTATATAAAATTTTATATTTATCAATTTTTTCGTATTTATGTTAATAAAAGTGACAAAAATTTATTGAAATAACAGATAAAAGGTTTAATGGAACAACTTCAGTGTATTTACAATGATTTAAAAGATAATAATGAAATTGCCATCATAGAGAGGTACGGAAGGAATGCAAAATATTATACAGTTACATTGACAAGTAAGATATAATATTTTAAAAATTTTTGTTTCGTTTTGCACGTGTTAAGTTGATCAATTTGCAGTTAAAATTTTATTAACAGCAAAATTATTGTTAAATTTGCAATTTAATTAGCGCATAATTTTTAATGTGCTAAAGATGTTGGAATAAAAAAAGTATTCACCAATCGAATAATTATTTTTGAAAATAAACACTTTTGTTTTGTAATTATCTTTCTTAATTGTTCTCAATAGAGAAAGAAAATCCTTTTTATTTTGTTAATATGTTTTAAATTTGTGATTATAAGACATTAACAGATAGATTAAATCATTATATATAGCAAAGTATCATCTCTCTCTCAATAAAATATACAAAAATATGTAACAATTCAGTGCATAAAGCACCTTTAATTATTTTTTATATCAATAACAACTGTTTGTTTAATTGTGAAAATTAAATATAATTTAATAATTGTAGTCAATAATAGATTACACATGTATATTTCATTATCACTCATATGCATATATATATATATATATATATATATATATATATACATATCATATGTATAATCATAATATGTACGTACATACTATGTATTTAAAAAAATGTTTAAAAATTTATTAAATTTAAATTAAAAGACAATTCGTATATTAAATAATTTGTATTTACAACTCGTTTACTGAATGCTCTAACATTTTAGTTAGTCAAAAAATTATAAGACTGCTTGTATTATTATTTAGTACTTATTACTTGCAGTATGTATGTTCTTGTGGGTAGCCAAGTATGGCCGGACATCCAGCAAATTATTTCATCTACCAATAAATCTCGATCACGTCATTTGGAAATTTTGACTGAGTATTTTGTTGATCAAGAAAAATATTTCTATTATCTATTATTACATATAAATGCAGCTATTTGTATAGGATTGATTACACTGATGGCGACAGGGACAATGCTCATCGCATTTTATCAATACATCTGCGGAATGTTTACAATTGCTAGGTAAGTATTAAATATTAAAATAGTAAAACAATTTAACAGAGCTCTGTTATTATTTACAGTTTTCGTATCGAGAATGCAATAAAAAATGAAGTATCACAAGGAATTACTTTGCAGAACAAAAATGTTCATGAAAGCATAAAATGTGCTGTAGATATTCATCGGAAAGCTATACAGTTAATATTTATTTTATAATACATTTGTATGTAAAATGTACACAATAATATATTTTATTGTATTTGTAGCTGCAGCATGTATCTAATATCTAATGTTGAGATATCATTCTTTTTTTTAATAATAGTTGGAGTGATGACTTTAAGTCTGAATATTTTCCGGGTAAGTTTTATTTTCTGATTATGGATATATTTATCGAGTTACTTAACATTTCTTCTTAATATTAGATAGTATTAACATTGGCAAAAATATTAAATGTCGCGCGCGTAAAAAAATTAAGTTTATTCATCGATAATTATTCTTATAATTATTAGGATTAATTAATATAAATATAAAAATTTGTAAATATAACGTATTCGTTGCAGGATATATTCTGCATTTTATTTTCTTTACAAACATTTTTGTAATTAATTTATAGTTAATTTTTTCAGTAACAAACATTTTGATTAATGTATCTTTCCTCCAATATATTATATATATTTCAATATATTATGTTTCAATTTTATATCATTTTACAAATATTTTAAAATTGATTGTAAAAATATCTTTGTAAAAATTATATAGATATTTTATAATTAGAATTTTGTTCAAGAAAAATTCACAAATAAAATTTTTTGCATATTTTATGTAAAAGATTTTTAATATTTATGAACATATATAATGTGCCTTAAGAATTTTCGAATAATAACTGTAGGAAAAGGATATATTTTCATTTTGATATTATTTGTATATCATGATTAAAAATGATATGGATTACAAGCCCATTTATATATCAGAATTCTTTAAATTATAATATATTCGAATATAGATTTTAGAAATTCTTATAATTAATAATAAAAAATTTTTAAATCTTAAAATAATTAAAATCTTTCTTATCTCTCTTTTCTTATTTGTACATTACAAACTTTTAATTTATAAAATTTATTTAATTATATCCCTTATAAAGTATATTTTAGTCGATTTACTAGAGACAGAAATCTATTTATACTTTTATGTGCCGCATATATTTTAATATATGTATAATGTATCCTGATGTATTTTTTCACTTTTTTAAATGTTTTCTATATTATAATTAAATTATAAGTAATTATATCTCCATTTTTCGCGAATTATTAGATTATTTAAAATAAATTTAAAATAAAGTTAGTATATACATATGTATTTATTTAAATACTGATATAATTGATCAAATAGTCTGTCATTGCGATATAATGGTATAGAAATGGAGATACTATAAGATACTATAATGTAATATGTATATTATAATTATATCTTGAATTTACGATTTTAATACAAGAATTTTTATTAATAAATATAATAACAATTTGATAGTGAAACTGTGATAAACAAATTTATAATTTTTTGTATATAAATTGTAAATCTTCTAAGTTAAACTTTAAAAATTAATTAATTTTTTAATATTTTAATTATATGTTTAGATTTTTCAGATCATAACAACAACGTATAATGCTACCGAACTTGCAAAATCCTTCATAATTGGATTTCTTAGTCTCATATATATGTTTATAGCAAACTTAGTCGGACAAGAAATTACAGATCATTATAATTATATATATCTCGCTACGTAAGAAATAATGTTATCGCAATAATATATATATATATATATAGTATATATATAAATTATTAATTTATTAAATGGTCTCATATCGTTTTACTAACTTTAATAACAAAGATAGAAGTTAATATATATAATATATGTACAGCACAATTATTTATACGAATATATACGATATACATATGCCGAAAATTACTCAAAGTTTATTTTTCTCAAAATATTAATTTATATCTCATTATTATATATCTATCATTACTATATAGATATGAAATTCGATGGTATATAGCTTCGCTAGATATACAAAAGCTAATACTGATTCTGATGCAAAGAGGCAATAAGAATTTTGGTTTGAATGTAGGTGGATTATTTGTAGCATCTATACAGTGTTTTACCAAGGTAAATTTTATAAAGTATACTATATTGAATTTGATATATATATATATATATATATATATATATATATGGAAAAAGCGAAATAAAAGTAATCATTTTTCATTACAGCTGGCAAACACATCTTTATCCTATTTTACTGTCATGTATTCTATACAATAATGACAACAAAATATATCAACTAAGATACTATACTTGAGCAAATTTCGTAAAAAAATGTACATAAAGCAATTTGTAAGAAATGTATAAATTAGATAATCAGTAACATTAACATTAATGCTATATATTTAACGGCAATAGACACAAAATCTGATTATAGTCAATTCATTACACCACTCGAAAGCGAAAATAGAAAATGATAATTATTTCATTATGTGTAATAAAAATACATTTATTTTTGCATTATAATTTTTAATATATGAGATAATACATGCACAGTATTTCTCATCAAGAATATTATATGTAGCCATTTTAATTAATACAATGTATTAAATTTATAGACAGACATATGATACTCAACACACATAAGTACAACTCAATAAACATACATGAATAAAATATCATAAATATAGATTTGATATGATTTATTTTCAAAATAATTAACAATTTCGCACAAGTATAGGGAAAGACAATTTTATATGATTTGATATCATCATTCCTATATGATCTATTGTAGATATACATTTTGTTATGATATTGTATATATAAAATATTCATAAAATAGTTTATAGTTTCGCAAAATTTAATAAAATTTATATAAAAATTGTTTGTGTGTGTATAACAAAAACAGCTCTAGACATGTTTTCAGATTTTTAGGCATTCAACATTCGCTAACTCATCGCATCTTTATCGTTGCTTTACATCACAAATATCATTAAAGGCACTTGGAAATACTCGTAATATTGCAACGACCAATTAAACCGAGGGCGACTGTATTGTAATACTTCCTATCTTAAATTCCTTTATATACAAGGTAATCACTACGAAGGACACTCGATCTAAAAACACACACGCACATATTATTATATATCTATTATTTCCTTTCTTAATAATTATATAATTATTTCTTAACTTTATCTACATTTCGTCTGATCTAATATGGGCTGGCTTCTTATAAAGAAAGGCTTCTAGATGAATTCACACAGATTATTTTCATCCTAAGTCTTATTATTTTTATTGTTTAATGGACTACAATTGCTTAATTATTTACTTTCTCCTTTTTTATCACTGTGTACATTAATGTACATTAGACGTCATTGAGCTTAACTATAATAAAACAATGCTTTATTGGCACACTTTGTATAATGAAATTGATGTACAAAATATATGTATATTTAGATATACAAGAATCTATATACAATAATTTAAAGTACATAGTTGTTTCAACAAATATTTTGCATGTATCAAAGATGATTGAAATTTATCAATCGTATATTGTATAATCAATATATTGTGTCTTCATATTTTATTTTCTTATCCATTACTATAGTATCTTTATTACTTAATATCTAATTTAAATTATATATAAATGTGTAAACCTTCGAGGTACTTAATGATACGAATCACTATTTTTAAAAATAATAATTCAGTGGCACTTTCAAAGACATGTTTTAAAAAGGCACTTTGAACTCTTATATTACGACTATACAAATTTTATCCACATATAAAAATGTATTATATTAATATTATAAATACCATTTTCTTTAATAGTATCATTTTTAAATAAATTCAATTATAAAGTACATCATTTATATCCAGTTAAAATTTGATTGAGTTGACGTTATTTAATGTTATATATACAGGGTGTATACTCAAATCTTAGAAATAAATTCCCTGAGGATTCCATGATTTTCCAGGTACTTTTGTTCAAAATTCCTGGTAAAATTAAAGTATTTTAAATAATTATTTAGAATACAGTTTTAAAATAAATTAATTTGTTAGACATAATTTTTTAACATAAATGTTTTTATAATAAAGTATATATTTTAATATATACCTTATACAAAACTAATAAATTTTATATTTTTTATAACTATTTTAAAATCAAAGAGGCATTTTTTTTTAATTCTCTGAGTTCAAATAAAATTCCATGATAATTCCAGGATTTTTCAAGGTAGAACAAAATTCCCTGAGAATTACAGGTTTTCCAGGTTTTTCCAGGAAGTATACACCCTATATTAAACATAAATTTAATTTCCTTTATGTAAAATATAATGTTTATCTTGATCATATGATTTATACTACTACTGCGTAAAGTGTTTGATTCCAACGTTTCGTGAACATTTTAGCTCACTTTATCAAGGAGGAACAATCTGATACTGATTTATGTTATTGTATAATATCAAGTGGCAAATTATGACTTCATCGATCGATAGTGAAATTAAACTCGCATTCCTCATAAGTAGATACGGGTCATTGGATCATTTGCAAGTATCTATTTTCTTCTAGCAAAGAGCTAAGTGAAGACGTCATGTCGTTCATAACCATATTGGTACTAGCTGGTAGAGCTTGCGGTAAAGGTATAGGATGCGTCGAACTGGAGACATTGGTTTCGTGAGTCTGTGCGTTGCCGGACCAATTCCTGCATTGTTGGACATACTCCAATGTCCTGCGATAAGAATCCTGTCTCATACCTTGAGGTGGCTTCACCGGCGAGCCCTGCTGTGACTGACTGATATCCCTGCACTGTATCTCCGGCAATGGTCCGCCGTGTTGATCGTGGTAACATTGATTTCCACCATAAGACCACGGACAGTTACAATTGTACTGTTGATGAGCCGGAAGATTGCTGCGCGTTTGACAATTATGTGCACAGGTTTGTTGTTGTTGCTGCTGCTGTTGCATTCTACAATTGGTCTGCTGAGCGTTGCAAAACTGTGGTGATGTTCTTTTCGAAACAGCCCCATCATTGCCTTGACGATGTGCGCCACTGGGATGAACGCAATTAGTGATTTGCAAGCAGGGTGTCGACTGTTGAGATTGTTGACAATTTTGAAGATTTGTCGCGAGTGCATTTATCGGCTTATTTTGATTCGCGAGGTTCAACTGAGAACAATGCGGCGACATTGGACCACATTGATTGGTTACTGGAGACTGTTGCGCAGAATGCACGTTGGATATCTGACTATTGGGTGTTACTATAGGCCTCGCGCACTGACCGGAAGCCTGGGTACACTGCGTATTTGGATGGGCAACAGTCGGTGGATGTGGCGACAATTGTTGACAATTGTTAGCTGTTAGCTGCATTTGCATCGTGTGATTAGACGGTGTGCAAGTCTGGTTGGAATGATGATTGACTTGGCTGGTGGCGTTACCGGTGCAGTTTGCGTTAACTTGACCGGTGCAACCATAACCCGGATAGTAAGCATGATGTGCATGATTTTGGGCACAATTCCTAGTGAGTTGAGCGGAATTCTGAGGCAAGTTTTGTGGCGCGTGCTGTGGCGCCAACGCGCCAGCCGCGGGAGACGTCAGCGGTTGATCACTTAAATGAGACGAAGCATAATGAGAACTTGGAGACATGACTTGAGCTGACGCTGGGCTCGCTACTTGTCTACTGGTTGCTTGGGATCCGTAACTCGGCGGCGGGCAATACTGCGACGAAAGTTGAGTACGTGAACTCGGACATTGACCGTAAGACGCGGCAGAAGAGTTTGGATAGTTCGGACAGGGTTGCTGTGCGACTTGCTGGGTAGGATAACAGTTCTGCTGATGTGATTGATTATAATTACACGTGGGTTGCATCTGTCGTTGGTAATGCAAAGGATTCGTGCATATCGGCGATTGGCAAATTGGTAGAGGACTGCTGCGATAGCTAACTTGATTCCCACCTGCTTGAACCTGTAACAGTGTAATAGTTAATTTAAGATCAAAACGAATCTATTAATGTTAGAGAAATTCACGAATCTCAGTAGAGAAGGAATATGTTAACGTGATTACCTGATTTAAATACTGCATCATCTCGTCAGGAATAACCAGTTTGTTTTCTACCATTTCACCTTCACCCATCTCGTCTAGGATTACCTCTTGATTGGGATGAAGCTCAGGCTGTAGCTCGGGCAACTGTGCCGATCTTGGCCTGGAGGGAATCGGAGGGGAAGTTCTTTGGGCCTGGTTACTGCGAATAGGTTCAGACATTCGTCGATCACTTGATGGTTGCGTACAATGACCGCTCGGATTGTTCCAGTCGCCTGGCATTGCCTGAAGATTCTGCGCATAAATGTATATGTCATATCATAAAAATATTGTCTGTCGCGTTTGTGCATAGCTGCAGTACGAAGCATACCTGAAGGGACATATTTTGCGTTTGAACGACGAGATTACTCGTCGAGTAAGGCCCTTGAAGATGATTCGGTGGATTAAGTCTGCCGGAAATGGTGCTCATCTGACTGCTTCTTCTAGACGTGCCAGGGCTGATCGGATCGTAAAAACTCTCAGGTCCCGTGGGACCCATTCTTACGGCGCTAACGGCACTCGCCTGACTGCTTCTTCTGCTACCGAAATCTGTGGATTTCATACTGCCGTAATAGGTGCTGACTGTGCTACTGCTATCTCTTCGCGGTTCGCCGAGCGGTTGCAACCTCAGTTGGAGATCGGACAAACTCGTCTGCCGTGTCTGTCCACCGCCGCCCTCCATTTTCAGATCGGTGATTCTTCGATTAAGGTCGCCGATATTACCCTGAAGTGTGCCACCGCGAATTCCTCGCACATTCGCTACGCCGATCGGCATATTCGGCACACCTTTGGCGTTCAGTCTTCCTTTCAGACGATTTCTTGAAGTGGGCGCTGACACTTGTTGCTGCTGCTGCGATTCCATACCGCCTGCGACCTGCGAACAGTCGAATGTAACGTTATCCAAGAGAACAAATAACTTAAAAAAAATTACTTGAAGACCTTAAAAAAATTGAAACTTAATAGAAGATCTAGACGTGATTCGCAGAGCAGTCCAAAAGACTCACCATGGCACGTAGCGCTACAGGAAGATCGGCGATATCTAGATCATCTGGTTCCTCGTTCCATGGTTCCTCGGCGAGAGCAATTCCGTCGCCAGTAAGAGCACCTACTCCGGCGACCTCGTCATTGCAACCGCCTATCAACGGACTGCCCTGTTGTTGCATTATGCTGGGCGGACTATTAGCTTCACTCTCGGACTTGACGCTGGGACTAGAGAGGCTAGGCGTCTTCGGATGAAGATCCTCGCTTCTACTAGGACTGTGACCGCCTGCGCCGGCTTCGTCGCTGCCACCGCCATCACCACCGCCGCCTTTATGCTTCTTGTTCGCGTAAAACTCGGCGCCGTGAACGGTCTTGACGTGCTTTCGCAGCGACGAGGGATCCGTGTACCTCTTTGTGCAACCAGGAGCTTTGCAGACGTACGGTTTCTAGCAAGGAATTCCAATAATGTGATTAGAATTTTCTCAACAATAATCCATTTGATCTTGCAGACAAAATCTGAGATATCTCTCGACTATTGGTATGTAAAATTATTATCTAAAATTTATATCTTTCTTGCATAAACTTTATCTTATTTAAATGTTCTAATTTTTTTTCTTTCTTTTGTGGATAGTTAAAGGGTAAAAATGATATCTACCTCATTGGAGTGCGTTCTGTTTTGATGTTTCGCTCTGTCGCTGGCGTTACTAAAAGCTTTGCTGCAGCCTGGATACTCGCAAGTATATGGTTTCTCGCCGGTATGAGATCTAAGATGAGTCTTCAGATTCTCCAATCGTGAGTAGGCTTTGAAGCAACCCTCGAACTGTACTCAAAAAAAAAAAAAAAAAAAAAAAAAAAAATAAAAAAAAAAAATCATCCAATTAATTGAGTAATTACAATTACTAATATAAGAATGTATCTTAATTATAATTTCTGAATGTGCACTATTAAATAACTAGATTATTAAGTCCGACAAATAAAAATAAATACATAAAAAATAATTTTCTCTTTAGCAAACGTCATTTGCAATTGAATTAGTGTGTTGCACGGTTTTTTTATCTTAAGTCAAAAATGAATGATCGAAGCAGATTAAAATCACATAATATTTTACTCTAGTCTAATTATTATTATTTGATATTCACAATCTTTATATTAATATTTTGATTGATTGCTTCAACATTTCTCATCCTTATATTCGCAATCGACAAACACGCGTTTCATCGAACTGATGTTTTTTTCGTAGTATTTTCTGATATGTTCGGATATTTTTATAGCATTTATTTGTTCCACGACGCATTTGCTCGTTCAGTGTTCGAAGTATAAAGGAACATCAAGAGGAAAAGCATCGAACGACCGTCGCGACAGATTAATCGAGACAGATGATCTCGCTCGTTTGCCTTGTGTCGCGCCGTTTCTCAGAATTTTCACGATGCACGTGTCACGCATAATAACGTCGGATCTGCCGGATGATCGTTTTAATAAACTCGAAAAGTTTTAGCGCGTCAATTAATCTGCTCGATTGCGATTGATCGCTCACGTTTCACAAAATTATCTCACAAATATATTCATTACTCATAAATGTAATCAAGGGATCGTTTTAGTATCGAGGAACATTGCTGCAACGAATTAATCGAGCGAGATAAATTTATTTCAATAAAGTAAAAATATTCTTTATAATCGATACACAAATAAAAAATATATTTTAAATTATATATTTTTATTTAAATTTGTTGATAGTCAGGAATAAATGAAACGTCTTTTGAATAGCGATATTAATTAGACTTCTTGAAGTTGCTTTGTTAACATCTGTACGCGTCAGAGTGCATGTAATTGATTAATACAAGAAACTTTCACGTTCGAGAGAAATAAGTAGTAAGTACTTCGACTTACGGTACACTTGTGAGGTTTTTCTCCCGTGTGTCTTCTCATGTGCACGACTAACATGTACTGAGCCTTGAAGGGTTTTTCCTCCCTCGAGCATTCCTCCCAACCGCAAACAAAGCTCTTCTTGTTGGCGTGTATGTGATCGTTGTTGATATGTTTTACAAGATCGTCCTAGTTTGAAGAAAGACGCATAGATTAATACAAATAATGCAAGCAACATCTCGTTAAAAGATATCAGTGATATCGTTATAACATTAATTTTCCAAATAATTTAATAAAATTAGATATTTCACTGACATGTAAGTTTGATTTCACATATTAAATCGTTTTCCATTAAAGAATATGTAAAAATTTTTTTATAAAGAAATTACAATTATTCTTATATGCTTGTTAACATAGAGATAACAAATTAATAGATGAGTAGATTATTTCTGCATATTTGTATCACCTGGGTGGGAAACTCGAGACCGCAGTCTCGCCAATGACAATTCGTCTCGATGAAATCACCAGGTTCATCTCTCAGGTCTTCGCTCGGACTGAGACCCTGAGGATGGCTCGGTGGGGCGGTGGTCGTGGTCGCGTTGGTGGTAGTCGTCGCTGGTTCCCTCTTGACTTTGGTGGCGGTCCGCCTTGACGAGGTGTCGGCTTCGGCTGTCACCGAGCGTGTCGACGATTCCGACGCTTTTCTACACGACTCTGCACTCTGCAAAGTAAGTAAAAAGGAAGTGTCAAACAAGTATCACTCTGTACCTTCTGTCACAAATATTTGGAACACGATACTTGTGATTATGATAGAGCACTCCAATGTTATTATATACGAAATGTATCGAAATTGAATTTAAATTTTTCAATTATTTATTAATAATTATATCAATTTATTCGAATTACGACACATAATTATTACGTTTATTAAATCAATTCGATTGATTGTTGTAAATCATCATAAATTCTTCGCATTGCGTTTCACTCTTTCTTTCTTTCAGTCTTACTACAAAAAAATACTCTGATATAGATGTAACTACAAATACCTGACCGTGCACACGTACGCGTGCAGGTTTCTCCACCTCTGTGCTCCACATGGATGCGTCGCGATTTACCAGCGATACAGGTTGACAAGCGATAAGTATTCAAGTATTGACTACGCCATTCGAAAGCGGATCGATTCGAAATTGAAATAGAAATGTAAAATGTATATAACGTTTCTAATTCTATCACATTTAACTCTCTTAAGTACAGTACTTTATTTTTGCCTCTTTCTGTCGTTAAAAAAAATTTGATTAAAACTTCTGAAGAATTACTGATTCAGTTTTACAAGTAAGTAATAATAGTAAAAGAGTAAAAAAATATATTAAATTTTTTGTACTTGTAACGTAACATATTTCTGAATGGAAAAAAATTCTAATGGGCAATCAAAAACCGGATGTATGATACATTTAAAAATTTTATCATATATCGGTTTTCCATAGAGTAAATATGAATCGAGAATTCTAGTTCGTACACACATATATGCGCGCGTTGTGTTACGAGACACGAGCGCGACGACAAGAGCGGAACATGACCGCAGAGAGCAGAACGCAAGTCGATGCAAATCATGCCGGTAAATTTTACAGTGTGCAGACACATACGGACGAGAGCGCGTGTGTCGCGCGCGAGGATAGGAAATGAAAACGCCGCGCTACGTCAGCGTGCGCGCGGATGCAAATAAATCAGCGCGGACCCGGTCGCGACGATGGCGGTAAAGAGAGAAGAACAAAGACGAGGAAGACGATGGTCGGAGTAAAAGAAGGGGATCGGGACGAGGGTGGAATCGAGCGAAATAATGTGCGCGAGATTGCTTGTAACCCGAGGACCCTCTCTCGCGAGAGTAACCCAATCTTTTTCTCCGTCTTTCTTCCCTTCCTTCTTCTTCTCGTCGTTCGCGAAGGCGAGCGATACGTGCGAAAGAGACAACGAAAAAGGGGCACGACACACGGAGGGGTATGATTATTTATTCCCAATGAATATCGATGACGGGCCACCGAGGGTATATTGTATCTCGGCTCGCAATAACGGCTCGAATGGCATTCTCGGTCCGCAGTTCGCCAGATGTATCGCGCTCTCTCTCTCTCTCTCTCTCTCCTTTTGCCCTTGCTCTCCTAACATCCGCGGGCGCGACGATACATTCGCCGCATCTCAAGATAATCGATCGGGCAAAGTCACGGTCGAAACGTAAGGACTTAATTGCTGGTACACAACGGGACGGGGTTCGCCAACCGTCGTCGTCGTCGTCGTCGTCGTCTTCTTCTTCTTCTCCCTCTTTCGCTTCTTACCTCGCTCTTCGGAGGCACCCCGACGGCTCCGTGTGGGCTCAGCGTCGCCGACGACGTGGAATGGGGCGGCACGCCGGCGTACAATTGCGAATGGGGAGATAGTCCATGGTGCGAGTGAGAATGCGGATGCGGCGGCGGCGGAGGCGCAGGCGGCTGCAGGGGATGCGTGTGAGGTAAGAGCGTCGCCACGGCCGCGCTCCTCAAAAGGTGAGCCTGGATCTGTTGCAGATGCGGCGTCATACTAGGATGCATACCCAACGCTGGACTCATCGCTGCAACGTAAAATCATTCATTACTGATGTGTGAGAGAATTGGAATTTGTTATGTGATATTTATTATTTTCATCTCACTCTCTCTCTCTCTCTCTCTCTAATAGATCGGACAATTAATCAAAGAATTTTGCACTACCTTGATTATTTTTTATAAAATTCCTGTGACGAATAGGGGAGACTATAACTTTGTTTGCAAATAATTGCTTTAATATATATTTTATATAATTTGTGTAGAATATATTAAATAATATATATTGTATCATGTAATATTATTATGTAATGTAGAATATTTTTAATAGATTTAGGATAAAAATATTTATTTTTGAAGAATACTTGGATAGGGGTGCGATTGATAAGCTTTTAATAAACGATTTATATGATCGCTCTCGAGTATGGTGACAATACGAGAATAATTGGTAAACATCGAAATCAAACTGCATGTCCGTTCTTTTGACAGTCCGAGCACGACATGCCGGACTTCCGGTACGTGGACTAAGCTTGCATTTCAATCGCGAGTCTCTGGTGATTTGTTACGAAACTATAAAGTAACCGCGAAGGAACTATTACACTATGCATACATATGATAACTCGTTAAATAAGCGAGCTCTCTTATTGTTATTTTACAAATCATATATTAATGACTCGATGATACTTGCAGTATATTAATCATTATTATAATCGTCGAAATTCCCATACGTTTGAATTAAGAATAAAAATGATAAAGGATTAAAGATGAGTGAACTTTGTCGTATATTAAATTCTGATTACGTGATACACACCAATGCAAATTAGGAGCAGTAGTAAATTGTGCGCGTACAGGATGAAAGTAAAATGAATAGCAGAGGATGACAAGAAGCTCTCGTGCATAGTTCACAATATATAATAGCATACACGACGAAGGCAAATTTAACGAGCGACTACATCCTGCGGTTATTCAAACGATCCAACGCCGACAAACAACTGGTGTGCCACGCTGCCTGAATTTTAATTCATTAATTACTTCATTTAATCGCAAATTACCGAGCGCTCTTAACTCACAAGCAAGAAGACCTCCTATATAATGATTTTGTGTACACCAAACTCGTTGCTGCTTATCAATCATCATTAAAAGACCAGATCACCGTTCTATGTATACTTGTCTTTTATCATGGGCAGCTTTTTTCTTATATAATTCGTCACATCTAAATATTCAATATTCAATACTTGTGTCGAATTAAGTTTGCCTCCTTTGAAAGATTTTGCCACAAAATTTACAAATATTTATCATTTTTATTCCTAACTCAAGTGTTTGTAGTGAAATAATAACAAGTATCATTAATATATAAATTTCTTATAAAATTATATTTGAAAATATATTTAAAAGGCGAATTTATTTGCAAACAAAGTTATAGTCTCCCCTATTCGTCACAGGAATTTTATAAAAAATAATCAAGGTAGTGCAAAATTCTTTGATTAATTGTCCGATCTATTAGAGAGAGATTGAGATGAAAATTCCTTAAAGATGACTTACCAGCGGATAAATGCCCGTAACTTCCACTAGCACTACTACTTCTCGAACCGTTCACGATGGATGCTAAGCTATTTGGGCTGAACCGAATCATGCTGTCGATGTCGAATCTATCCGAATACGGTGAACTGCTCAGCGCTCTTTTCCGACTTGCTCTGATTGCCGAGGCTCTCGGGCTTCCTAGTCTCGACGATGCTGAAATTAAATATTTCCAAGTGGATTTAATTACATACGTCTTTATGCGAAAATGCAAACATTATCAAACGTTAATGTATTTTCTCTCGGAACACGCATTTTTAATATTTATCGCTGAGGTGGTAATCAAGTAGGTGGAAAGAAGTCAAACGGAAGGTGGAGAAGACTCAAGAACGTTGGGTGTAGAAAGAAAAAGAGAGAGAGAGTCGAGGAGAGACTTGGGAGAGGGAGCTGATCTTGCGGCTTGAACGTTTTAGCGGCGATTTGCCTGCGACCGCAGCACAACGATGTAATATACAAACCACTTTCTTAAGAGCGTGGTGGCGGCTCGCTTGTACGTACCATCGTTGGTTACATGGTGGCGGTTATACGCTCTCTCTTCCTCCTCTCGACGCGTCACCTTTCTCTCCTTCTCTCTCTCTCTCTCTTTCCCTCCAATTTCTTGCATTACCTTTGCCGGCAATATCCACGGGATTAAGCCGCGAGTGCTCTCCACCTCGCTCTTTCGTACTCCTTTTTCTCTCTCGTCTCTCCCTCGTATCCCGCCTCCTATCTAAGGAGCAACGCGATACACAGAAGACGAGAACGAATCTACCCTTCTCTCTCCTCAATTTCCACTTGGTTGATCGCTCGTTTGCGCACAACGGGGGTATAGAGTTACTCGCAGTTGGAACTCCGCTCTTCTTTTTTGCGAAAGAACCCGCTCCGACCCGCACAAAACGGTCTTCTCTCCCGCTTTATCCTTTCTTCGCCCCCTGGTCCGGTTATTAATTCGGCCACTGATCAGATTTACCCTGAGTGCGGTTTTTCCGCACGATCTGAGACGATCGCGTGCTCAATGAGCGATTTATCGTCTCGCACCCTCTCGCAGTCTTGCTTCCTAGCAAATGATACTTAAAAACGGTTCGCGATTATCCTAGTTTTAATTAATTGAATTCGGTCGAAGCGATAAGGAGATTTATCGGACACGGCCAAGGTGGGACTCGTCCCATCCGTCAGAAGGGTCTCATCGTGTTGGATCCTCGTCGAACAATTCTCCCTGGCTTTAATGAATATGCGAGCAGAACCCTCAGTCGTTTCTCTCTCCCGCTCGTCAGCCTTATCGTGGTTTCGTTTCTTCGCAAGATGTGCAGGGACTCAATAAGTCCCTGAGAAGACTCTTCGCTCCCTCGCGCGTGCAGCTCGAACATGGGATTGAGACATGTAAATTGGTGCAATCGTCCATTCCGATCAACGTGGCTCCTCCCATGTACGGAGGCTGCTATACAGCGCTTTTCAAACGTTGTTTCCCGTAGTTGTGATGAAGTATTCTGGCTCAAGGGTTTCAATTTAAGATGATTTTTGCCATCAATCTCTTTGTCATCGTTCTCGCAGAACGATCAGTCTTCAAGTATACGTGTATCAATAATTTTCTCGTCATTTGCGTACCATCGAAAAAATTGTTTTCTCAAAATACTTTATATAAGTCCTCTTAGATGTTCTTGATAAAAAAAGGATATTTCTGTCTTTATGTTTTTTAGAATATCCTCTTAAATTAAGAATATATTCTTATTGTATAGAAGAAATTAATAAATTTATCTATACTAAGATTGTTCTTTATATTATCACAATTAATAATTTCAAATAATACACTGATACAAATATTCAATTAACTATATACTCTTGCCATGTTAAGAATACGTAATAAGAATACATCTCTTTAGAAAATGTACCTCTTAAATTAAAAGGATCCTTTCCTTTAAATTAAAAGGATGTACATATGGAATAAAATAAACGCGAAAATTTGAGACGAGATCGAGCTAGAGAAGAAGAAGAGGAAGAATAAGATGGAGAGGGCGGGAAGACGAAATGTGAGACAACCTGTAGGGTAGGCGCTAAGGTGTTAATGAGGTCGTGTCGCTCCGAGTCGATTCAATTATGCGGCGGTGGCGGCTAACGAGGCCCCGTTTACCCTTTCGGTCGTCTTTTAGCCTCTCGGCCGCTTAACCAGTCGATCTCCTACCTGCCACTACATATACGGCCAGCCGCGGCACACATAACTCAAGTCGCGCGTTAGAGAAACGCGTGGACCGTAGATATTAGAAGACACGTAATATATTAGAACGTATCTTACCATCGATGGAGAACGGGAATTCGGACGAGGCGAGAGTGCTGGCAGGACCTGCCGCGTGTAACAGATACTCGGGCCCCAAACCACCCAGTCCTGGAAAATACAAGGACATAATAATATATTGTGTATCAAGTGCGGAAAGTTGACAATTGGTCACGAGTGCGGAGGAATCTTGCGGCGGCACGGTGCGGGAATAGCCGTGTTCAATACATTGCCTACGGCTTTAGCCGTGGACAATGACTTTGAACGCGGCTCAGCCGTAGGCAATGGCTTTGAATGCGGCTTATTCACTCACCGCGTCGCCGCTAAATGGCGACGGGGGAATCGGCCGCTTTCCGTACAGAAAACACGCACAGAAAGTGCCACTTTGCCTGCACGTGTAATACAAAAAAAAAAAAAAAATGAAAAAAAAATTTTTTCCTGTAGGATCGTAGCGTCATCTTTGTTTGCTCGAGAGGGAAAATCACGGTAGATCACGCGCGATGGATATCGAATTCAAAGACGCTTTTGTACGCTGGAAGAGAAGCTTCCGGCGGAAATGCGGGCCCCCTTTTACGGAGTCCGACGTCTAGGAGGGAAAAAATGTAACGGATAGGTCTACTTTGACACTGCTTGCATTTGTGTTACCCGAATAATTACCGTGTAACGAGGCGTTGGGACTGTGCGTGGAGGCCTGGAGCTGGTGGTAGAGATGGTCCATGTAGTTGATCCGGTACGCGGGATGCAGGGCCGTATGTTCCGAGAGGGGATGACTTCTGCGTAGGAAATCACCGCCGGAAGTCCCGTTGCCCGCAGTCCCACCTCCGCCACCACCGCCAGCGTTGTTGCCGTTGCCACTTCCGCTGCCGTTTCCGGATGTTCCGATCGCGGTGGTGCCGCCGGACAATCTGGAAAAAAAATTTTTTAATGTCAAATTAATCCGGAATAATTCACTCGATAAACAAGACACCAAAATTGTTTAAGAGAGAATAAATCTTACAAATGATAAAAGCCTCCCTATGATACCAGAACGGAGCTCTCTCATTAACGAAACGTATTTCTGGCGAGACGTTTATGATTTACGGCGAAAAGTAGGGGGAAGAAAAACATTCTCGTTTGACGGATGAAATTACGACACGCTCCGTAGACGCGACAAATGGCGCGTGTCTCTTCGTCAAAGCTTCTATTCGCGTCGCTTCTTGACGCAGACAGGTGTCTTCCGTCAATGGCACGGTCGTATGATCAAAGTATAACTTTGTTCGCGGGAGGATAGAATATAATGCGTTTTTGTTTGCCGTGTCCTCCCCTCTATACTAGAACGTCACAATGCGCGCGCTCGTTCGCTTCGGGGAAAGGCAGAGGAACCCCAGAAGAGAAACGAACCGCGTGAGAGAAGAGACGGGCCCCGTCTCGTTTTGAGTGATGGCAATTCGCCACGCTCGAAACATCGAGAAACGATGCGTGTCTGGTGCCTTCAAAGATCCTCGAGACGTCCGGGTTTCTTTCCCCGTTAACGGGAGTCTCGTGCGGACAAAATTGCGTCTTTCCAAGCCTTTTTTCCCCCGTTTATATTAAACATTACAATATTAAATCAACGCTTCGAAGAACCAACGTGCACAGGCAACAGGTTCTTTGCTCCTTAACGCTTTAAAGATGTATAAATTAGGAAGAGATCCGCTTGTAAAGAAGCGTTACCGTGGATGGGAATGAAATCCAAATGGATAGAAGAAAAAATGCAATATTATTGAGAGACAAATAGAAAGATTTAATTAACCGAAAGGGTGATTTATCCTACGATGCGCGTCGCGAATGACAAAGTAAATATAATAGCACGGACGGAGCAGAAACAGAGGTACGCGATTGGCGCGTGTCGTAACGTTTTAAGGCAGATTACGATGTTTGAGTCGGTCGCTGTCTAAATATTGGCTCCGCGCTTCCACGAGTTTGCTGAGTAAAGACAACCGGGTCGACTGTTTGACTTTGCTCAGTGTCCACGGATTTTGATTACTGTCTGTTGGCTGGCTACCCGTTTACAGTGGCCGACCGTGTTAAAACATTTGTCGCGATACTCGTTGACAGGTCGATGGATCTCTCAATCCCGCATTCCGTTTCCGGCCCTTTAAAGACGCTTCAAAACTCTGCGATATCTATATATTATTGTTTTCGATCAGATATGTCAGAGATATTGCGAAGTGAAGAAATAATTGTAATGTTATAATCGCAATTTCTGTAAATAGTTATTAGATCTCTGTAAGATTCCCCTATCATTCGATCGCGACGAACGTTCGTTTTTATTAGCGACATAATTATTCTTTTCCACGAAACGGTATATATAACGGTACGGCAAAAATTAGGGCGCTTTGACAGGCTGCTTAGTAGCACATCCCATAAAAAAGTCGACCGGGAAAGAATCGGGAGGAACCGGGGACACCATTACAATGAAAACATCGTCGACTCTGCCGGATTTGGCACGCTCGTATTCTTCGTTTTTTTTTTTTTTCTTTCGCACCGGGAGAGAAATGGCCGAAAGAGAGACGGAGATTGAAAACTCTCGGTGGAAGAAAAGAGAAGGAAACTTTGAAAGGGAGAGAGAGAGGGAGCGAAGCTGTGTCTATTTCCAATCCTGCTGACTGCCAGATGACTCGAGGTATGGTTCTGCCTCTGGTTGCTGTCCTTCCTTCCTTCCTTTTCTATTGCTTTCCTCCTTCGCAGTCTCCGCTTTAAGCGCCTGTCACACTTTGCGAGTTTTTAAAATATTCAAATCGGCAAAATACACAAATTCGAACTTTCCTCGCCGCGAAAAGATAACTATGATACATACAAATTCCAGGATTAAATTTTTTTCAATTTTCTGTAGAATAATGTGCCTTGTGCACGATTTGTTTCCATAGCGACATCCGCGTTTAGCTCTTCACGCCTTCTTACGATTTAGATATTTATATTATTCTTGTTGCATCTATATGTAACAATAATTGTTTGACAATATTCGGAGCACTTTTTTGGACGATTGAACGCTTAAAGCATCCGCGTAGGAACACAGTGCGGGAAAAATTTTATTTCTTCCTTCCGCTTTCTCTCTTCTCACGCCTTGCCGCCTTTCTGATCTTTTCATTCTTCTTTGAGTTTCCGTCTCTCTCCAATCTCCGAAATTTCCTGTTGCGCGCATACCAGCGTCCTTTTTCCACGTCATGGCTTTTCGTCTCTGCCGAAACAGTCCGCACCGACAGATAAAACTCAAGTCGTTAACTCGACACGCCGGAAACCGACGCATCTATCTTTATCTACGACCCGTCCGCCTCGGAAACTCTGGGGTCTTCTTGAAATTCTTACGACCGTCGCGCTCGTTTCTTCTCAGCAACTTCTCATTCGGTATAATAATATCGTATTTCCGATTCAAAAGTATAGACTCCCAAAGTCATTTTTCAAAAAGTATTAATACAGCGTAATTTATTCGAGTGATTCCGTAAGCTCTTCCGTCTTTTATACTCTATGCATGCAATTCTGTGCAATAAGCGGAGACTTAATTGCGCGCAGTAAAAGTACTTGAAATTTGTATAATAATTCGAATTATCGAATATACACGAGGATTTCTAGAATCTTTGTCAGTGATAATTCGACGATCGCAGACACGCGACGTCGTTTTAATTTCGTGAGACAGAAGGATAAGAAGGAACGCGACGAAGCCGGGTGAAGAATTAAGGTTCGCAAGCTCATTAACGTGACTCGTGGTAATGAGGCGAGCTAAGCGGTGTCCCGGGAACATCTGCCCGGTTTCTTCCCTGCCGAAGTAAAGGGGCAACTCGAAGAAGAAAAAAACGGAGGAACTCGACGACGAAAAGAAGCTCGCGCGAAGGCCGAAAACGGAGTAAAAGAGGATCTGCTGCGCTGGCTTAAGCGCGATAGCCGAAAGCCGATCAGACGTGGAAAGGCGAGTGGATTCGGCCTCTCTCTCCGTTTCGATGTGTAAGATGACTCCTTATAATTTGCCGAACGAATAATTCCGTGACTCGTGAAAATCGCGTCCCTAGTTCCCCACAATAAGAGATCTCTATCGATCCTTTGTAATCCTAAGGAGGAAATCCTTTACCGCAGACTCATATTATTCGGTGCATTATCTAAAGTGGCGGACTCTTCCGGCGAAAGAGAGGTTCAACATGCGGCGTTTCGACGAGATATTTCTTCGATTTATGATATTATTGCTGAGCCTTGCCGAACGCATCCTGCGCTGCGAGAACGATAAAGAAAGGGAAGGAACCCATATGGCGGATTCGGTACAGCAACACGAATAAACTCTTCAAACGCGAGCGCCGAAAAGAAGACGGAAAGATATAGATAAAATCACATACACTGAAAAAAAAATTTATGTAAAATTACATGATTATGCTAGATTTTTTTCCGACCCAGCATAATCATGTAATATCGCTACTTATATGGAAGATTACAAATTATATGTAATTTCATATGAATATATTCTTAAATATTTTCAAGATTAAAAATATTTCACTAAAATTGAATGGAATTACACATAGGAAATGCTAGTAATGTATAAATGCTATAAAATAATGTTATAAATAAAATGAATAAATACTTGGCTTTACCTACATTTTTACATTAATGTATTTTCACTTTAAAACAAATGGAAAAATAAATTACAGTGATAAGCAAGTAACTTCCAATTTTTTTAAACAAGTAATTTCCATGTAAAAGTACACGGATTTTTTTTTAATATACATAATATCAAGGGTAAGAATTTTTTTAAAAATATTATCAGTGATATAGATGCCCCTAACTTGTCCCTTTGGCGGCAACCGTTCGAATGTCGTTCACGTTCGTCTTCCTCGCGGTAGAGCTCGCATAAAGTCCATTATCCAGTCATTGATGTACGCATAGGAGCATCGTGCCGATTCCGAGGCGATTTTTCGCACACTCTTCGCGGGTGATCTATGATCGCGATCCTGGCCCCGCGCCAGGATCGCGCTTTCTCGACCGAAAGTGTCAACGACCAAGGCAAAACTTCTTAAGCTCCCGTACTACGAAAAGTCGTGAAACGTCGTCGCGCGGACGTGGAATTATTTTCGATGGACACACAGATATAGTTCCACGCCTGGCGCTTAGGGGGTTAAGTCGTATAATCTTATATTTAGCACGTCCCTCTCTCTCTCTCTCTCGGACCCTTCGAATATTACCCTTATGCGAGTCAAAGCTCGACGAGTCAAAGTGGATTTCTAGCGCAGCGTTGTACCACTGAAACCTTTTTTCATCAATTATTTCTCAAGTTTTTTTTAAATATAATTATTGAAAAAAAATATGAACAATCGCTGTAACATAATTTAAAGGCTAAAGCGATGAAAAGTTGATTGGGAAAGCATGACACGTGAGTGAAATGAGATCAGTCCCTCGAGAAGAGAACGAGGTTTTCCGGAGGAGCGTAGAAAAAGCGCGGGAAAAACTCGACTATGCGATCGTGGTGGAGCCTCGTTAATCAAGGTATTTGCACGCGAGATCGGTCGCCAAGCTATCGATATGCGAACCGTCGTCGCGAATCGATCGGAGCCGCGCCTTCGTTGCAAATCCGGCCTAACGGCGCTATATGTTCGCTCGCAATGTTATTTATAGGCTATTCGAACGCTGGGTAGCGCGCGTCTCGCGTACGTGCGTTTAATTCATTTAAGCTGGAGATTCGTCCTCGGATACTTCGCAGAAGACAGGCCGTGGTCGCTCGTAAGTTATGCGCGAATTAGCGGTCTTGGCGCTATTAGCACATCGGGATACCTTTTTCTTTCGGATTTAGAGGTCGTCGCGAACGATAAATACACGCCGTTCCGTTTGACGTTTTACATACATTATTGCATTCGCGACAATAAAATCACTTACTTTATCACGCGACATCGCGAGAAGCAACAAATAC